TAAAAATGACAATTCTTACACTTCAGTTTAAAACATTTAATTTGAAAACCTGACAGTTGTTGCCGCTTCCTGTTTGTATGTGAAGCCGGCACAATGCAATGTTGGGTTTACTGCAACTTTGTGTAGCTTTACACATAATACCAAAAACAACAATAACACTATTAATTATGATTAAAAAATATTCCGCATCAGTATCAGTATCGGTGCATATGTATCGGAATCAGATCGGAATTTTTTAAAAGTGGATCGGTGGAGTTAGAAAACACAGATTGCCTTTCTTTTTACAAATGCGTATAGTTGTAAAATAACCAAAGTAAGATCTTAAAGGTGGCGTAGACAATTCTTATCCATGCTTATCAGTGCCCATCTCCTCATGGTCAGCAAGCTACACATCCTGGCTGCTTAAATGGGCCAAAATCTACCTGGCTCGGACCAAGCCACACTACATGAAGCCAAGTACGGACAGGTTGCATTGTGCCCTGTACTCTGAACTACACTCAGCCGGCTACACTCCGTCATTCAAGTCCTGTCCCACTAGGAATAGAGCTAAAGCATGATATCCATATAAACTAAAAAAAAATGCTTCCCCTATTGAGGCTTACGCTCGGGCAGCAAATGTTCTGATTTCAGCCATATTGCTTGTTATTTGTTCAGATGTTTCCCTGGCAATGCAGATCAATGAAGTTGTAGTCAGAGCCTTTGAATGAAGGGGTGTGTTAATCTTTCTTTGGCCGATAAGATATGGGCATGATGGTCCTATGCAACAGCATGTATCCCAGGAACATCTCACCAATTAAATCAGCACAAAAAGTGTATATGCAGTGCTAAGTAGTAAATGTTACATCGTTACCCAGATGTCAGCAATTTGTACCTCTTGCTCTAAGTGACTCATCTCAAAGGCAAAGAGAAAGAGTCACATTTACTTCACAGAAAATGGAGAAATAGACTCATCACTGGGATTTCCTCAAATGTATAGAGGATCAATGTATCTCATATAGTGGTATTCAATTTTAAAAGCACATTGTGACATCAACAGGTCCATAAGAGCCGGGCAAAAAGCTGTAAGATACATCAAACTCTAAGGGAAGCTTGTTGACTGTTACAATCTCCCCCTGACACTCTCTTTCATCTACTCCTCAGTCTTTATACAGCGACTGCTGACTCAGATAAGATTATCGGCTATTGAACTCCACTCGTATCTGGCTAGCACTGCACAATCTGACCGCCAAGTGATGTCATATACTGGTCACCTGTGCACCTTATCGCTATCTGATACACTGGAGACCGTGAGAAGGTTGGCTGACGGGCTAACTTTCAACTCTGCACAATACAAAATTGATGATGAAAACTAAGATTACAAGCCTGGGCTTGGATGACAAATCTTTGCAATGTGTACAGCTTCTTAGAGAGTCTAAAAAAACTAGGCTCATATAAAATTCCTATTAGAGAGATGGCAGAAACACTTTTCCCTTATCACACATAAAGTCAAGAGCTTGGCTATTGAAATAAAATCTTAGGTAACAATGTATTTGTGTTGGAAGCAGGCGAACTAATCAATAAATAAAGTGAGATTAAAACCTGTCCATGAGACAGCTGATCAAACTGGCCCATTTACATGTAAACCTCCAGGTATTCTCATTGAAATTATTGGCAACAAAAAAAGATCTACTACTGAGAATCATTGACAAGTCTTATTTGTGATGTTAATTGTTGCAAAAGGAGACTTTTTTAATGATCTTGTAACTACAGGACAGAGTCCAAGACAAATTTCCCCTTGAGTACAATAAAGTATATCTTATCTTATCACTTAACTGATCATATCAAAACATTAAAAAAATGTTCTGAACATGTTAAAGGAGAAGTGTACATTTTAGGCTTCTGAAGTTATTAGCAGGAGTTAGTATCTCAATGCAGACTACTCTAAAAAGAAAAAGATAAACTACAAAAATGGCTTAAATCAAGCCATATTTAAAGGCTGCTTGTATTAACATGTAACTGTCTTCAGGGTATGGTCATTAACAAGCACTGTTGTAGTTATGTATATGGCCATTTAAGTTGTTTCAAATAGAAAAAGGGGGAGTCAACAATTCATAGCTTTACTTGCTTAAATCTCCTCTAAACAACGCATGTTTACATCACCTGAAGCCATAGACCGTAAATATGAATGGACGAAGCCCGAGAGGCTGTAAACAGGCAGAAAAACATGTTAAACTATGCTGTAAAAACTGATTTTTTGCCTGTTGTCTGTATGTGACGTGTGGTGTTCCTGGAGCCAGCCTCAAGCGGACACTCAACGACCTGCAGGCTCATCGGCTTCATTTTTCAAGACCGGAGGTAACCGTAACACCAGAACGTCACCTCAGTGATGTTGGCTTATATTCAGAGGAGAATCCCTCTCCTTACACCGCTGTAGAATGAAAGTCTACAAAAGTATGGACAGCTTTATGTATTTTTCAATGAGCCTGGTTCAGTAATGTCCGTTGGGGAAGTGAAGGTCAAGAAATTCTTCATCATCCAAGCATTGGATAGTGCTTCTTAGCTAACATTAGCTTGTTAACATTAATTAATGATAGTATCAGGATCACGGTCAGCTGTCCATTGATTTATTGCTCTTGGGCAGTAATGGAAGTTAAAAGGCAGGACTATTTTGATCAAGTTAACAATATTTTGTGGCACGATTAGGAGAAGTCCTTTCTTTTGGACAGAGGACGCCAAACAGAAAAAAAAAAAAAACACCTCCTCTCTGGGTTTTCTTTCTCAAATTAAATCCTGTAGAAATTCAACCCGGGCTTGTCTCCTCGTCAGTTTGTGCATCACATTCAATAACAACTGTCTTTCATTTGAGAAATAAAACTGATAAAAACGGGTAGTTAGCAACTAAGACTAATAACCTCTCAGTAGAGTACAGTCGTAGGTAGCCTTTCTTGCCCGCCAGGTGGGTGGTTCCATAAGCGTATGATGTCACGTGAAGAATAAAGAATAAAGCCTATGTTTCCAGTCAGAGCCAACAATACAAATCTTGCGTTTTAACAGCTGCCCTTTGCCCTTGGCCCTGCCACTCCCTGATAAAGCCCACAAAATATCTAATAAACATCATACAAAAGCTTAGAATTCCCTGAAAATCACGTGCTGTCCTATGCTGTCCTGTATGTTTAACATACTTTATAGAAATGATGTGCAGTAGATAAGTGGGAAAGTGTTGGGAAGAGACTGAAGGTTATAAACACCTTCCCAGGCTGTTACCATCATTATGTCTTATGCACTTTGACTACATTGCATGTGTACAGATTAGGGCTGGGCAATATATCGATATATTTTTTAAACAAGATATAGGGCAGGGGTGGGCAACTGGCGGCCCGGGGGCCACATGCGGCCCTCGTCAACCCTCAATGTGGCACTCAGGTCAATTTTTATATATCAAAACATGAAGAAAACATGACAAAATCTGCCATGAAATCAAGAAAACCAGAAATATTTCCATAATAATATTTGATCACTGGCATATGTCGAGTTAAATTTGAGACATAATTGACTGTAATCGTTTTTGTAGCCTACCTGCCCTCTGGCAGTGAGAATTAAATGAATGTGGCCCTTGCTGTGACCAAAGTTGCCCATCTCTGATATAGGGTAAGACAATATCGTTAATATCGATATAGTTTAAGTTGCATTAAAATAACATTACAGAGGTGTCAGGTCACCTTTTTCTCATCTTACTGATGATGACTGACTGTCTGTCTCTCTTAACCCTGTTCCTCCTCTCTCTCTCTCTTTTATTGTATTTAAGGAACATTTGTATTTTATAATATTACTTCTTAAATTCACAAACAGGTAGTTTATTTTTCCATGTGGGCGGCTGTGGCTCAGTTGGTAGAGTCGTCGCCTCTCAACCAGAAGGTCGAGGGTTTGAACCCCAGCTGGGCAACATGTCCGATGTGTCCTTGGGCAAGACACTTAACCCCGAATTGCTCCTGCTTCTTCAGTGTATGAATGAGATGAGTTACTTCTGATGGATGATACTACATAGCGACCACTACCATCAGTGTGTGAATGGGTGTGAATGGGTGGGTGTGACAGGTGGTGCAAAAGCGCTTTGAGTAGTCTGGGGATCGAACCCTCGACCTTCCAACTCAGCCACAGCCGCCCCTAAGTCCATTTACCATTTTCCATGTGTTTTCACTGTTAATAAAAGACATATCGAGTATCGCCATTCAGCTAAACAATATCGAGATATGAGTTTTGGTCCATATCGCCCCAGCCCTAGTACAGATTGTTTAAAAAAAAAAGGCAAATAAGTCATAACCACAACCCCCCCCCCCTTTGTGTGTGTTCTAGTTACCCTGAAAGGTCAATTCACACAAACAACACAACATACAGTAGCTGTCTTACTGCCACTGCATGACTTTTTACATATATATTAACCTTATTTTTTGCTACATGGTGAAAAGAAAAAGTTTGATGCTTTTCTCTCTTTAGATACAATATCAAATCTTTGAAACATACCTACACACCTTGTAGCATTACCATTGACACCGACATGACAAAGTCCGCTTAAGCTTGTCATTAGCTCGTTATATCGCATGTAGCCTACACATTGCTGGATTAGCTCCAGTCTAAAAGAACAGGATTGTTAACATTGATTTTTAATTTTTAAATAGAAAAGTGTTGGCTTTAACCATAAAGATGCACGGTAACAAGAGCTACTTTGAAAACTTCAGATGATGGGTCAGGCGGTGTGTTTGAAACGCTAACGTAACTGTAACAACACAATTCATGTTTAATGAGCCTACTGACTGTTTTTGTAAATGTGTTTCTGTGTTAAAAAAAAAACACCAATCCACTGACCACATGCTGATCTCCATTGCACCTAACACTGGTCCCTGTACGTAAAAGGCCTTCTCTGCTAACGTTAGCATCTGGTAACTTAACTGTTAGCTGTCGTTGGAGCACAGCGCTAACTCACAGCTAATGGCGTTAGCGCGGATAGTTAGCATGGTACTTACGTTTTCCTGCTGCTGCGAATGGAGTTCCAATCTTGATTATCTACTGTAATTCTGCTTTTTGTGTGAAGATATGTCGGCGAGTTAGCTATCTACGGAGCTAACGTTAGCCACCTAGCTGTGTTATGTTTCCTTATTTGACAAAAAAAAAATATAATCGGCAATTTTTGGCTTTTCAGAAGAGCGGCGATAATTCCTTTCTCGGCGGTTCCCTGCTTGGACAGCGTTGATTTTTACGCATGTTTGACGCCAGTTCAAGTCTCTCACATTCAAACGAAGGTAATTCCGAAGTGTCCCAACGCAAATACGGGTAACTGAGAATTGTGTTATATTATACAACGGTGACGAATCTGGCACTTTCTTCAATTGAAAGGCCAGAGCTATCCTTCGACTTTGGGTGCTGAACAAGAGGAGGTGTTATTTTTGGCAAATGCTCGCTGATTGGTTACAACGTCTACGCGAACTGTTGATTGATTGGCTGCCGCGGCTGTCAGTTGGCTCTGCCCCTGCGCGAAGCTGTATTCTTATTGGTCTATTGCCGAAGTCCTGTGACGCACTGGATCACCAGAATATACTCGTAGCTGATTTTTGGCGTACGCCGACACAATTTGGATGGGCGGAGTCCAGTCTTGGTGTAAACAACGCTCAACATCGCGGAAGTCTTTTGACAGCAGTTTTGAAAATATGATACTAAAAGAAAGGAAATATGATGGGAAAAAGCGTAGCACTTGGATTCAATATTTAAATATCCTCATCATTCATATGTGAGGAAATGCCCCGGAGTATGAAACAAGCGAACCAAAGACGGATATATTCTTAAAGGAGTTCCAGCGAAGTCTACAGACGATGAAAAAAATATTATTAATTAATATTACTGATTTGTAATTTTGCGATTTCCAGAATGTAAAAAAAATCTTTTCATTTAAGCTTTTTAATCACATTTTTAGTCTATCAGCTAAAAATCGATCTAGATTCATTTTAGACTCGTTTTCCCAAATGTTCCCTCTCATGAAGTAGCCAATTTGATTGCATTACCCTCCACTTGAAATCGTGGGACTTTGTTATACTCTATCCAAAAAAGCTTAAGGTTTGATGATTCTATGAGATGAGCTACTTTTTCTTGTGAAAAATGTGTATTTATGAAAACAAACTGCAAAATTGGTTTATTAACCTTTGCAGTCCAGTATTTAGTAACAGCCAAAATCACATGCTTTTCTCACATGTGCCACAAACATGCCTCTATTATTGAAGGTTTTTTTTCTACAGCTTGTCTGCCACACTTGAACATTGACCCATGCATTGTTGGCAGACCAGTGGTCTTTTCTGCATGCGTCAAAATAAATTATGATGTTATCTCTCCTTCTGATCGCACTTATAGGAAAGTCATAGGAGATGGTTTATTACTCCCACCCTCATCTAATGCAGAGCCTTGAAGTACTCCACAGAAAATAATTCCAAAGAGAGCAAGGGACACAGCAAAGACGTATTTGCACCCTCCCCTACCTTGAGTTTCTGCATTTTGACCATCCAGTCTTGGTATTTACTAACTGAGGTGTAGCCTAGCAGACAGCTGGCAGCACCCATCTGTCAGAGCTTTAATTATGCAAAATTTAAGACTTAATATAACTGTAATGAGTGAGTCATAAAAAAAAAAAAAAAGATTGTACACTTGTCATGAATGCAAAATGGGCTGCAGAGACACAATCTGTTTTTGGTATCAGACTGCAGACATGGTTATTTTTGCTGCAAATGAGGAACTCTGTAATGGGATTCCAGGGGGGATTGACTTCCTTTAAAAAACAAGTGGCCATTAATGGAACTGCAGATTTGATATATTATTTTTATTTTTTGCAATTCTGCATTAGCTTAATTTTTAGCCTTTTACTTTTCAAAATGTATTTTTGAATTGTTCTGAAACACAGGTCAAAACTCTGAATAACTGAATGTATCCTCTCAGAGCAGGTAAAGACACTTCCCACATAGTCTGAAAAATTAAGAACATAAGATAGCAACATTTTAAAAGTGTAGAGTCCACCATATAAGTATAAAGATCATATTAAGATCAAGATAGATAAGATATAAAATATGGGCTGCAGTGAATAAAGCTTGGGAGGGGAGATTAAAGCATAAACAAGAGTATAAGTGTGTGTATAAAGATGTTTAGCCAGATAGTGTATTGGTGGATCAGAGTTATGGTGTGTGTGTGTGTGTGTGTGTGTGTGTGTGTGAAGGGAAAGCAGGGCTTATCCGTTGTCATTTTGTGTTCTCCCCTCAGGATTAGACTTGTGTCTTATTAATGAAAAACTCATCAGATATCAGAACAGTTCCCTGAGGAACCAGGCAGGGTTATGAGACCCAGGTCAGATTAAGACCCTGTCTAAATACCGTGTTCATGCGTGTGTGTGAGCATATTACAAACAGATAAGAGAGTGTGAGTGAGCAGAACAGAGACAGCAGTGGAGTGGTATTTAATTTTCTAAGATGGGGGATTATCACTGTCAGAATTTGATCATTCTGCTCTGATCAGGATGTTCAATCATAGCTTATCCCAAATAATAAACTCTCCGTCTTTTGTCCCCCTTTCCCCTAAATCCCTCACACACACAGCAAACACACATTTCAACACATGGATGCTTGCACCCGTCCTATACTGTCAGGTTCTTGTTGAGCAAAGTGGCCCGCTGAGCTGACTGTCAGGGTGTGTGTGTGTGTGTGTGTGTGTGTGTGTGTGTGTGTGATTGTTCAGCCACCTGGTCACCTCAGAGGATGGGTGAGAAGGAGGGGGACGCAGGGGAGAAAAGGGGTTTTGGGTTAAGGGGGGGCCTGTGGAGGGGTGATGATAAGCTTTAGCGTCTTATGGAAGCAGCTGAGGAGAGTAAATTAAAAAACTGTTACGTCTAATCCGGAGCACCAAGAACAAGTGGCACACACTCCAAAATCTGATCCCTTGTGTTTACATAGATCTGGATGAGCTAAAACACACACACACACACACACACACACACACACACACACACACACACACACACAAACAAACGTACACACAGCATTCCCTCAAATGAGTTTACTCATGCACTTACACACACATATTCCCTGCTGCTAAAAATTGTAATTGTGTCCCAGACTGGATCGGAGGGGGGGGGGGATGCTGAGGGTTGGGTGACAGGAGGTACAAGGCCCTGATCTGCACTCTCATTTTCAGCCTGGAGGATCTGCACCCGGGACATCTGGGTCACATCATTACAGCAATCTTCTGCTTGTTCATTCCCAGCTTTAGAGGGCTTAAAATGACACACAAACACTGATATTCACAGACAAACACACACACACAAGGATGCAGCCACATAAAAACCTGTAACAGTTATGTGCAGTGAAATGAATCATGTTTAAAAAAAGATGATTTTTTTTTGTAGCACAGATTTTAAGGTAAAGTTTTTGAGAACTTTTCACAAGCTGTTTTAGAAAAGTGTATGTAAAAAGTAAAATGGGGGCACTGGTGACCTAACGATTAGTTCCAAGTATAAAAAGCTGTATTCCTCAAAGCAGGCAGCCCAGGTTCAAATCCGACCTGTGGCTCCCTTTCTGCATGTCATTCCCCCCTCTCTCCCTGATTTCCGACTCTCTTTAGTGTCCTGCCTCTCCAATAAAGGTATAAAAAAACAAAAAATAAATGGAATTAAAATGTAACAAAAAGATTTGTGACTGTACATTTCTGAGAGAGATTATACAAATCACCCAGGGGAGACCAAGTAATACAGAGTTTTAGAGCAACTCTAATGGGGGGGGGGAAACACAAAAAAAACATGTTCAGATCCAGAAGAGTCTGTGTGGTGCAGTTGCACCGACCTCCAGTGGTGAAGAGCTGGTATTACAACAAAGTTGATGTTAATACTACCATCCGTCAGGGGGCGCTGCAGATTGACTTACCCGAAGGTACAGAGGCAAATCGTCAAAACGCCACAGCCTTTCCATTCTTGAAAAAAGCTATTTTCTGGTTTTAGGCCTACTATTTTAACTTTAAACATTTCTAAAATAATATCGTTCTTGCAGTGTTTTTCTTTGTTAGATGTTATTTAGTTATTTATACTCTTTTTCAATTGTATCTACTTGTTTTTTATTTAATTCACATGTCCATAATGTCTCTTACTTATTAGCCTATATGTTGCATTCATGTGTTGTCCAAATGTTTAAAAATATATTGTTTTTAAGCACTTACAATTACCTTTACTGCAGGTTGAGCAGCTATAGAAACAAACCTGCGTTCTTTCACTATTGTTGAATTTCTACAACATATTTCTATTCAGGAAACAGTAGCCTACCTCATGGCAATGCTTATTGTGTCATTTTAACGGTAATATCAGAAAGCTTGCATTAAAACACGATAATGCATGCATGCAATATAAGACAGCCATCCTTCAATATTGCACAGACCCAGGATATATTTAAATTATATATTCAACTATATTAAAAAAGCACGTAGGCTATTTTAGTTTCAATATGTGTTTGCCATTCTTGTCTGTGCTATTACATGGATATTTTCAGCAAGCTATATTGCCCATTTTGACCAAGATTTCCTGGTGGAGGAACTGTTTATTTCAAGGAGAATAAATAGACGTTTACTGGACAGGACAGGAGAGATGTCAATTTTCTTTGGGGTTACTTTGCAGCAGAAAAGCCATCTTTTTAACACACCTGTACACAGGGCGTAATATGTCAGGCGTTTTGAAATGCACCTTTATTCCAGATGGTTTTGCAACGTGACGTCATTGTTGCCCAGTCGAGGAATCCCCTACGCTTCTCACTCTGTTCAGCGTCTTACCTTGCACGTCACGGGGTCACGTTCGGTTTAAAAACTCTGCTCCAGGTGAGGCTCGAACTCACAACCTCGGCATCGCTCTGCTGTATACTGTCATATAAGTACCGCGCGCTAACCGATTGCGCCACTGGAGCTCCGGCTTCGTCCAGGTGGAAAATGTGATTAAGCATGTTTGGAAAACAAATACTTTCATATTTTCACTACATTTTCAGAATCATACAATGCAGCGTTTGATATTATGGAGAACTGATGAGCACTTCACGGGATACCGGTGGTCACTCAGTCCAACAGCTTACACAGAGCCGATTTACGTGATGCGTTCAAGTACTCCTCGTTAAAGCTCCGAGCCTCTGACTTCCCCAATTCACTCACTTCACTTTTTAAGATTTGATTTGTAGGTTTCAGTCTCAGATTCCATGGAAAAGCTTTTAATCAAAGTCTCTTTGTCTGATGTAGTCAGGGATCCTAGAAAAATCATAGTTTAAAAAAAACAAAACACATAAAAAAACATGGTTTTTTAAGGGAAGAATCAAATATTAAAAGGTATTATATTCAGGTGACCACATCATTTTGGCCACCAATGTGTGGATATTATGACTACAGATTCTTCAGATTTGTTGTGGATCTGTTAGCGATGACATGCTGAACACGTTAAATCGACTAATCCCCTGCAGCCACCCTTGTGAGTAGCTACAAGACAAATCCAATTATAACGTGTCGGGGGTTAATTCAAACATTGTGGTTCACACCCTCCCTGTTTTTGATTTTCACCTTCAGTGGGATCCAAAGACTGTAAAGAAAATGTGATTGCAAAAAAACACTGAGCTGCATTTCACTGTAAAGCCGCGTGCTGGGATGAGAGGGTAGTGTAAGTGGAAAAACCTCTTTGAACAAAGAAACAGGAGCTCTATCAACACAATCTCTCTCTCTCGCTCTCTCTCTCTCGCCTGCTGGCAAACACACACACACACACACACACACACACACACACACACACACACACACACACAGTAAAGTACCTTAAGGCAGACTCCCAAGAATATTATTTATGTTTCGCAAGCACTCCTCATTCCTCATCACTGTGTCAAATTGCCATATTTTGTGGGGTATTGTATAACATCTGCACACACGCAATGTGTATTAGCTTCATTTGTTACGCTCCCCAACCCCCTCCCCATCTCAAAAAAACAACACAAAGAGAGGCAGAGAGACAGAGTAGGTGGCTGGGAGACAGGCCAGGCTGTCAGAATATAACACCAAGTAATGACTCACAGAGACAGGCCACCATAATACGGCATTGTGTTGTTGTTGTTTTTTTTTATTGTTCTCAGCATATTCATAATTCAACACATGACATACAGTAAACACTAACATAAACATTCTGAATGAAAGAGAAGAGATCAATTGACCCAATTGGTCAGAGGTGGCTCTCACCTCAAAGACATGCGGTGGCGATGCCAGATTTCTAAAACTCATAACTAAACACACCTGAAGGCTGGATGGGTAAATCTGCAACTTTTTGAGGCAACGCCCTCTGGCAATGATAGAGGGAGCTTTAATAACCGGATAAACGTGACTGCTGGCAGCCATTTTCCTCCGACATAACACTTCGGCTGGGAAACTCAAGTTCTTGTATGATGCTTTAGCGCTGTGCTCCAGGTTGTAAGTCCTACACATGGAGAAAATCAGAACTGTTTCAGCAATTTAAAAGGTAATGGATATTGAACAGTATAAACTTGAAACAAGCTTAAAATAAAGATAGTTGGAAACTCAAACAGCAGCAAGCTTTAGTACTCACTCACACACTTCATAGTTTACATTAGCTTGGAAGTGTCTGAATGTTAAGACGACCATTTCACAGTGCTGCACAATTTAATTAGAAAAGAGCAAATTCTTAGCGAACAGTAATGCTAGCTAGAAACAAAACTGTCAGACTGTCAGCAACGTAAGGATTCAACCACTTCCCTACCTAACATGAGGCTACTGTTAGCTTGGAGGTGGTTGAATTCTTTCATAGCTGCTAACTAGATAGATTCTTGGTAATATTGGAGTTAGCCAGAAGGTAGTTGAATATCTACTAAGCTGTTGTATGCCAACTTAACAACTCAAGGCCTTTGCACACTTTCATCCAACATGTACAGCGTGTTTAAAAAGAAACGGGATCTCATGTTGGGTCAATTTTGTTTCCACACTAACTCCAAAACTTTCATCCGTTATTTTTTAAATTTTTCAAATAGCTTTGCTTTCCTACGTTTTTTTCGCAGTTCGTGTGTGTCCCTGTGTTTTTATCAAGGATGGAAAGAACCACAAAATCTTCTTCACTGCTCGATGATTCCATTTTGTCTCGTAGCCCCCCGGCGAAATTTCGCAATAAATAGAAAAATAAACGCATTCGACCCAGTGCGCAGGGTTTCTGTGCACACATTTCTATTTGGAGGTGGATTAAGGATCCAAAAAAATCCATCCAGATAAAAAAAAATTGGTGTGCAAAAACCTTAAGTACGCCGCTAATAATACTGTTAGCTAGTTAGGAATGGGTGACATGCTAACTTTGCTGTTCAGTCTTTACAGTTGATTCTTTTTTGTGACTTCTCAGTTGTTCCTACACTTAATTTATCCGACATACAACCTGGAACACAGTAGCACAACATTATATTTGAGCTTCCCACCCTGAGTGTGTTGTCTGATGAATACAGCCGCTGCGTGAATAGATGAAGAAAACATGCTAGCAAACAGCTGCCACCAAACATTTTCTCATCTTTGTGCCTCAAAACGTTGCTTTTTTACATCAGAGCCTGGTAAATATGACGGATCCATGCCCTTTTTCTGCTGCAAAGGAAGTGCTTTAGTACCCATGGTAGGGTTAGGTAGGTACAGTCGGCCATAGAAATAGGATGAGTAGATTTACAGTGTTGTAATGAGATATACAATATATTTTACACTGAGGGAGGCTTATGCTGTTTAATGTAAGCTGGCTCTATTTTCTTTGTCCCGTTATGTTTTCAGACTTGCAGCTTCTTGGATAAAGTTTGTGGAAAAATGTCTGTGGGTCATAATTTGTCAACACCAGCTCATTGATTTAGACTTCGAGGACAGCGTGAAAAAAAACCTGCAATTAAAACATATTTCAAAGCAGCCATTTCTAGTTTTAAAAAGGCAGCTAGTTCAGTCTTCATATAGTAGTGCATTTTCTTTTTAACGTCAGCGTTGGACATTTGCCTCTTCTCAAAAGGTTAAAGAACACCCCCCCCCCCAAAGAAAAAGAAAAAAGAACACCCTCCCATCCAAATCCAGCCCATAGACTGTTTACAAAAAGTGGACGTAGCCTCGGGGTCTGAAAAGTGAAGCCAGTGTAGAAGTGATTTAAACATGCACTTTTTGTAATGGCAAGCAAGAGGAGATTCTATAACAAAAGTCAGATTTGAAAATCTAAAAGGAATTAACCCGAGCGCTCACTTGATTTTCCCCCTCAGTAAACACTGTTATAGTAACTCTATTTATTCAAGTCTATAATAATACTGCATGGGGTTCATTTTTTTTTTTAAATTACAGCTTATCTAAGAAAATAAATGATAAAGCAATGAATTGTTCATGGTGTGGCCACCTTGTGATTGGCTGTTGTTTCTATGACAACCTGAAAAAAAATGTGTTCAGCATTTTGGTTTGTCTAAAGACATGCTTGGGAAGGACTTGGTAGTTTATTGTTTTTTTACGATAAATACATTTTCTTTAAAGCCTGATTTGTTGTGCTATTTAATATAAGCGTAACAATTCACCTTGCTAACAAAGCTAGCTGTACTGTTAGCTTATATCTTGTAGTGATATGGTAGTCCACAAACCAATGGGTGACATCTGGTTGCTACGTCAACTTCTTATATACAGTCGCTGATGATGCCCCATGCCCCCCTCAAAAGCCCCCACGCCCTTTACCAACTTTATACAAACTCGTAAAACTTCACTACAATTCACCATCAACACAAAGGTTACACAAAGTTCTGTCGTTAAGTCCATCCATAAAAAGAAAAAACAGCACACAACCCCTTTGTTGACGGCATTATCTCACACACACACACATACACACTCACACACACACACACTCTCTGCCACACGCTCACATGCACTCGAATACAGTATGTACACAAACAAACACATTCCCAGGGGATGAAAGACAGTCAGCACTTGCAGTCAAGTGCAGGTGTATGTTTCTATTGCATCACAGCTCATCACATCCCTCTGTTTCCAATTAGTTTGATGCGTTGTCATGGTAACAGCATTTAAGGATCGAAAAGCAAAGGAGGATTTAACGAGAGAAAATGGGCGTGAGAATTTGTTTGTGTGTGTGTGTGTGTATGCAGGAAGGGTCAGTAGGGTTGTGGAGTGTCCTGTGTTCAGTCGTGGATGACGATGGGGCCTCGCATCCTCAGGCTCGGGTGAGGGTGCGGAGGGGCAAGGACGAGCCCCTGCGGCTGGCCCTGGGAGACTCTGCGCAGGGTAATTTGCTCGCAGGGCTGCCGGCATGCGTGCCTCAGCTGGGAGCGGGACAGCAGCCGCCTGGCCCTCCTGTGGGGGAAGAGACAAGACATGACATAAGTGCAGAAGTAGATACACTGACACAAAAACTAATAACAGTAAAATTAATCCAGATTGACATTTCCTTCTTGACCTTTGAAACAGTAAGTAGTTACCACTGAGGTAAAAACAAAATCTTTATTTAAACAAGTACAATTTTAAGGAAATTGTACTTTCCTTCTGTATTTCCATTTTCAATGCTGCTTATAATTCTGCTGTATTACATTTCAGTTTTGTACTTTCACACTACTCATTTTTCATGTTTGAATTACTGAAGCCAGTAGAGCAGAAAGTACAACGTAGCTGGCTCAAAGGCCTGGAATATGTTGGACTCAGCTGTTGGTTTTGTTCTTAGGTGGAAAAAAAAAACAAGCAGTCATTTTTAATTCAGACCACAACATAAGTTATAGATTCACTGCACTCTGGTCCGTCAAGTTTTCTGCTGTGGGAGAAACCATTTATCTCTGTCTCTGGTCAGTTTTCTATTGTCATAAAAAATAATTAACTTAAAGAAAAGTTTGACATTATTTCCTCTTAGCCACTATCTTGATGATAGTAGGACTTAACCAGCAATGGGATGCAATTGACAATTATTCATTGATTGTATTGGAATGATGTTAAACTCTTGCCGTCATTGACTTGGGGAAACTTATTGGGGGATCCACTGTAGCTCCCTGGCACGACGAACCCCCTCAGGGCCATAGGAATAGGAGAACAGAGAGAAATAGGGAGAAAGGGGTGGAAGGGAGTGGTGCGGAGTGTGAGAACATAAGAGGAGGAGAGGGTTAGGTTTGATTTTATGGGGTCTCAGGAAGAGGCCAGTTGAGGTATGGTCCTCCTCCTGACACTTTGCTATATAGCAAGCAGCGCCACTAACTAAAGTATTGCCAGCAGTCTCATGTCTGTATGGTAAATATGACACTACAGCAAGCTAAACCAGCTTAGCGCACTAGCTAAAAACAGAAAAAAACAACAATTGAAGCGCTGTTCAAAGGTAACAAAACCTGCATTTCGGCACACAAAGTTTTCTTTTTGAAGAGTGCAAAGGAAGTTTTTTATTACTTTATTGGGACATGAAGATCAATACAAATCTCATGATTGTGTGTTAAACATGAAGCTATCACCGGCAGCTAGCTAAATGAGCTTTGCACAGAAACATCAAATACAAGAAAACAGCTAGCCTAGCACTGTTTACCCAGGAAGTGTATTTTTCTCTCCATGAAATTGTTGTTTTTTTGCTCTTTACTCAAAAAACGTGTTAGTCAATTTGCTAGTCAGTTTTAGATCTTAAGCTACTGACCGAGTTCAATCAATCAATCCATCAACCAATCATTATTTAATTTAGAGTTAAGCTAGCTGTTTGTCCAACAGTTTCCAGTCGTTGTGCAAAGCTAAGTTAGCAGGCTGGTGGCAGTATCTTCATATGGAGAAGCAAAAAGGTGCAGGTGGAAGTGCAACAAAAATGCAGTTCCTGAGTGTCCACTTGAGGCTTATTGCAAAAGCCACAGAAGTCCATTTTTAGATCAGAAATAAATTTGTTTACAGCCTTGTTAACTTTTCTTTTGCTGAGTAGTTTATGTCTTTGTGGTACACACTGTGATGTTTTATATCACTCGTCCATTTTGATTATATATATCCCCCCCCCCATTTTCTTTAACCTTAGTTTTAATTGGAGAGTCTCTGGAGATCTAAACTATTAATAACAGCTTCCTTCCTTATGATACACGTTTTTAATTGCCTGATATTTAAACAACACAGTTGGATACTCATTTAAAGCTCATTACTCACAATTTCATCTTTAGGTCTCAGCAAGTTACAGCAGCTATCCTTTAGATAATGTTTGTCTGAATGCATTATTTATGCCTAGTTGAACACAGGCTTGATGCCTTCAATGCTGCCGGACATCTCTGAGTACTGCAGCTACCTCTCATTTATTGTGCATGCTGCAATGTGGCAGCAGCCTGCGGTAAAAAGGCGCCAACACATAGAAACAACGATGACACTAGCTTTTGGCTGTGTGCTTTATGTGACAAATGTTTGTCTGATTTATTTGTGAAACACTTCATAGTTTTGTTGAAGGAATATTCCCATTGTTCAACCTTTTGATTGTGTTTTTCTCTATTTAAAAAAAAACAGTAGCGTTTAAAACCTCATCAGCTATAAATGGCTCATTCCAAGATGTACAATTAAGAAACCGATTAAAAGAGAATGCCAGCAAGTAAGCAAGAAATTCAATTTCAGGGCATATTGTTGAGGTTCTTTTCTGCTTATATCCAATCCAAACATCCAATTTAGTTTGTTAATTCAGGAGAATTCACTAAAGCAGAGTGCAACATTCACCGAGCAGGATTACTAAAGCATATCTCATATGATAAGGTTGAAGAGAGAGGTGCATCTCTGCAGGATGTTCAGATTTATAAAAGGAGCTCATTGGGGACGTTCAGACTGCAGAGGGCTTTCTTCTGTAACAGGAAGTATCTCTAAGAGCCCACAGCAACCAAAGGCAGTAAACCAATGACCAGGGGGCACACACAGCACTAATGGAATTCATCCAGAGACAAATGCGACAAAAAAAAAAAAAAAACTCCATAATGAATGGCTGATTGTTCACAGCTCCCTTCAGGCAAGAAAACACTGAGCTTTAATGCACAGCTAAGGCCTCTTGACATGCATTATTTTTTTCTACCTTTCTCAGCAGCCGTTCTTATATTGTGAACTGAAAAAAAACACTTCAGTTTCCTCAAGATCCCTGCTGGTAATAGAATTAGGGTTCCTAATGTATACATTGTAAATGTACATAATGTGACCAAGCAAATACAATAAATGTTTCTGAAAGTGCATGTAGTGCACAGACAGATTTATTATTACTCTACATGGCACGTACTGTCACTTAAAGCCAAATCAGAACTACACAGATTGAGCTCCAGTTGCACATTATCTAAAGCTCGGCTGTTTGTCTGTTCAGCTTGCCGTAGGGAGGCACAGAGCAAACATGTTAATCCACACTCAAACATATCAGACTGTCTCATTTACATGTTTTTTCACTTTCTCTTGTTCTGTTTTCCTGATTTGTGATGCTTTGTTCTGTTATTTCTCTGCTCATATTGGACTTCTCTGTGTTAGGTACAGTAGTGGGAGTATTATTCTGATCTTTTGCTTAAGCTGCAAAACATCCATGTAAAAATACTTCATTACTAATACACCTACTGCATTCGATGTCCAAACACACTATCGCTTTTATCAGAAACCATGGTAACCCTCACTGTGGATGCACGTGTCCATTACCTGTCTACAGCCTGCTTTTTTCCTGTCCATAACACAGTGATACCCAAAGCCAGGATTGGGGCCCCTAGGGAGGGGTCTGGAGTTAAGGACTTCCAGGTAAACGTAAGGTTGAAAATGAATCTGCACCAGTTTTACATATTGAACTGCTATTCTGTACTTTTTGCAGTCAACTTTTGAGATTAATAAAAAAAAAAATCTAGGAATTTATGTGTTACGTGTTAAGTGTGAGTTGATATGTTTTGATGCCGGTGGTGAGGGGTGAGGGCTTTGGGCCCTGAAAATATTTTCAGGGTCTGCCAAAGGGCGGCCCAGGAAGCAAAAGTTTTAGAACCACTGTCATATCGTATTCTCACTATGGGATAATCGTTGATGCCCACGTGCATTATTTAATTTGATTCATTTTATTATATACTTTAACTTAATATTTTAAGTTTTTCACAATTGTATTTCTTTGATTTCAAAGTTCAGAGTGAAAAGCATGCAATTTCCCAAAAATCCAGAAACGACACAACTTTTCTCTATGAGTAATAAACTTTAGTAAAATTAGAAAAAGGTTAAGGTTAATGTGACATTTCAATCAGCTTCCTCATTGGATTGTGTGACTGTCTGTTACACGCTCTACAACTTGCGCTTTAAGAAGTGCTCATTTCCGATCTCTTTCTGTTGCCGTCTCTATTTGTCTCTCTTGCCTCCCTGAATAAGTGCGATTGATTTCCCACTACTTCCCTCTGCCCTGTGACACACTTCATCAAGATGAGAGAGAGAGAGAGAGAGAGAGAGCTGGCTAAAGGGAGACGGTGAGTGGGGAGAAAATGAAACTTTGTATCAACTCTCATTAGCAGCAGCCTTTCAGAGCAGATCTATTAACGTCTTTTATTCAGAACATCATTAATTCTCTCCGCTGGGAAGGCAGCGTAATGTAACAAAGGGTTTAGTATTCAGTGTGATTCAATCGCCCTCACACACACACACACACACACACACACACACACAGCCATGTTGATCATGGTTGTAAGTGAGAGATCCATACGAGTGCAGCCATGGTTAATGTGGTAATGATATTTCCACTCCAGGCCCAGCAGTGCCTGGCTCCTCGCTGGTCCATCTACACCAGTTAGCAGCGCTAATTTTAGCCCAGATGATTGGAGGGTGGCTGTGACGGCCGGGTGCCATGGCTCATTTAGACACGGGCTTAATGGAAATCCATCTTTCTCTCTCACATGCGGACATGCAAACATTGACTCATTTTATGCGAATGAGCATGTGAGAGTGTGTCATGTATAGTTATTGTTTATTTAAAAGGGATATCAGATTTCGTCTCTCAAAGTAGAGTATTTGCAAATAAAATCAGACCATGGGTGTTTTAAATTCTGATGTTTCGGCTTCTTGTTGACCCGTAGTTTGTAAAGGCTTTCTTTCCAATGTGATATATTTATTGACATCTAAAAGGCAAGCTGTTTGTCAAAATGAGAAGAAAAATCAACTAAGGACTTTTTTTTTTATATGGGGAGAGCAGACTATTACAGAAGTGGAGCAATCTTTGTTCAAAATTACAGAACATGCCTACAGTAGCTTACTGGAAGACAAAATGTGAAGCTTCTAGTGCAAGATCTTGTAAAAAAAAAAAAAGAAGACGATGAAAAACTGTATTTCACAACATGACTATGTAAATACGGTGTAGAAATGCAAGTCACTAGCTTTCTGTAGGCCTACAACATGACTCTTTCTTTCTAGCAGCTTTCCCACCCCAGATAAGGAAAACAGCCAATTGTAGTTCAGGATTTTGGGTGACCAATCAGCTTTGAAAGGTGGCCCTGGCTACCCCAGGCCACCCCTTGGTTGAAAGGATGACAATATGTTTTATTTTATCTTGAGGGGAACATGAATTTATCAAAATCCAGTACTGAAGATTCTTATTCTTATGATTCTTCCGTCAGTGTTGACTATGAGTGTTACATTTGAATGCCAATCCGTTTGGAGCCAAAGGTTTTTTTCACTCCTCAGCATTTAAGTTTTCTTTTTTTGTTGTTCTTGCTTCAACCTATGTAAGTCATCTGGAGAGATCCGTTTATGAGATTTTATGAGAATAGAAATACCTGCACAACTTGTTGAGCAAATACAATGTTTGACAATTGTTCATAGCCAACTGCACATTAAATAAATAAATTAAACTCTCTGATCTAAATAAATCCTAATCCAGTCGGTCAGAATAGTAGTTTTTGTTTTTGATCTGCAGAGGCTGTTTAAGTATTTTAATGGAAATAAACCATTCTTAAAATCAATCTTTGAATCCCAAAGCAAGACATTTATACACCCCTAGATGTGATGTAACGTCAACAAGTTTTTGTATCTGGGTTTAATCTGTGTAAATTTAAGCACATATGTATTGAGTTCAAGCTGTTACAGTGTGCACAACAAGCTTTTAGAGATCACCACTGGATGTAAAAAACCCTTTTCCCATTATCTGCTGTTGATTAATATTTTACAAACACACAATCACACACAGTTAGCCAATCAGAGGTCAGAAAAGGGTCACCTTTGCTTACCTGGTCTCCCGGTTGACAAGGAAGAAGCTGTCATCAGGGGCATCGATCCAGTTAGGGCGTCTCTTGCGGATCATCATTCCGCCTCGGGTGTTTCCACTGCTACTGCTGCGGCCGTTATGCTGGAAAATGACAATAAAGTATCATTTGAAATAAATACAAAAAAGAGTTTTACAGGCCTTGTCCAAAAAAAAATATATAATACACCTACCAGGAGGGGTCCAGCTGTTGTACCTGGGTTCTCTGCAAAGGCAAGAGGAAGATGACAAGTATGCATGAGTGGTTCTGTCAGGTGAATAGTACTGTTGGTTTTCCTTGTTACAAGTGGTGCAACAATGACTGTGTTTCAATTTCAATAATAATAGTGAAGTTACCAATAAAAAACAAAGTGTCAGACTGAAGTTGAATCATCCAAATTATCCAAATGACCCCCATCTGCTGTTTCGTTTTCATTAGAATTAGTTGTCATTCTCTCCAACGAGCTAGTTTAGATGAGAAATGGCAGAAATGGTTATCAACTCCAGGTGAATTTCCTCTAATTTTATTTTATTTCAAGCAAAAAGATGACAAGAACATTGGATATCAACACTGTTTGGTCCCCGGGATTCATTCACATCAGAATTCAGTTATTTAGAAGTAAGATGGGGCGACTCTTCCAATTTTAAGGGGGTGGGGGGGTTTAACAGATGTAATACAAGTCCTTTCTGCTCCAAGGCAGGATTAATTTAAGAAAAAACACAATTATTGGAAAAACAAGACATAACTTTTCAATTTGTTCTTTTTTTTCCGATTAAGAAATGTGTTCTGTGATTACCTGAGCGCCTGTCCGGCTCAGCCCTGCTGTGGTGATGGTAACTGCGTTTTCCCAGCATGCCGTGAGGGCCATGTGGGAGAGAGGAGAGGAGGCGTCTCGGCGGAGGCGTCTGCAGGCCCGGGGTGCGGTGTGAGCGAGGGGTGTGGGCTGCTGGACGTGACTCTGGAAGAGACACCACACTGGAGCTGCATCAAGTGATTCCTACAGACCATCTGAGTCTGATTGTGGGCAAAACTGACTTCTTTATGTGGTTATAATGTGTTTATTTACCTAGAAACTGCACAACACTGGTCAGAGTGCTCCTTTGGGCTGCTCTGGTTTTGGGTAGGCGGGTCCCCTGCCCTTCCGACACCCTTAACATGTCTAAACCAAACACACATGAACATTTTACAAAGCAGTGAAATAACTGTATTATCCCTCTTTTCCCTCGATTTACAAAAGCTGCGTTTCCACCAAAAATACCCAGAACTTTTAGTACAGGAGGCATCATACAAATGGGTTAAAAGGTTCCTCAAGGCCATATCTATTTGTTTCAACCTAAAGTACCAAGTTTTGTAGTCCCAGCGACTACTTTCAAGGGATTAAAGGGCTCTCCTGCCATTTGGTGTTGAAATGTATTTTCAAAGTAACCAGAACTTTTTATCCTAGGGTCTACCTGTAAAGGTTTTACAGGATTCTCCGGACCATTGGTGTCTTGGTATCTATCAAAAGTACCCAGAAGTTTCCACCAGGTACAAGGGGTTTTGTAGTCCAAGGGGCTACTTTGAAATGAGAGATCAAATGCTTCCTCCTGCTCCTTGCTATCCATGTTTCTATCGAAAGTACCCAGAAGTTTCATTATCCAGGAGCTCTCAATGTGTTAAACGGTTCCTCCAGGCCATTGCTGTCCTTTTCCACCAAACGTACCAGGGTTTTGCAGTCCCAGGTTCTGCTTCTAGATGGCTAAATAGATGGACTTTATTGATCCCAAACTGGGAAATTGTAGTGGTGTGGTGCTTCTAAAGGGATTTAAGGATTCCTCTTTTGCCTACTGCGGTCAGGGTTTTAATCAAAAGTTCCTGTGTTTTCATAAAACACTTCCCTCTTAGAAGGGACCTTTTAAGGGGTTAAATATAAACCCACATGACTTTATTAAGGCCCTGGTCCCTGTGGTGAAAACATGCCTGCTAAAGTGGGAGGGGACATTAGGTGGACTTCCAAAGGCCTCCTAAAGTTCCTAGTTCTTGGGTAACGTTCCTGCAGTGGAAACACAGCATTAGACACTGTCCAACCAAAAATACTCAAGTCAGAAATAAGTCTTCAGGTTGATAATAGGCTCTGGTGGTTAAATACTACATTCCCAGAAGTTGAACATAGATACAACAGTAAAGTTGCCTTTTTTTAACTTTCAAGTCTCAAAATGAATGCAAAGCAAATCACTCCAAGGCATCCATTTGCAGTCTCACTTTCATGGTAAGGGGTAATTTCTCCCACATGCACATACAGACAAGTACATGCTTACATGCACACACAAACAAAGTATATCATAAACACACACACATAACAAATGAAGGTATTATGACAGCAGGCACTGGAGTTTGAGTCCATGCTTGGTTGCGGTAGGAGAGTGGGGGGTGCCTTTATGGTCCCTCTTTGGAGTGTGGTGAAGTTGATGGACAGATAACACGGGACACATGAAGCACAAGGACTCGGAAGAGATGCTTTCAGGTGTGACTTTATTGTAGGTCTATTCACACACTCACACAGTGATGAAAGAAAAAAGCAAAAAAAATGAAAACTTTTGAAAAAAAGGAGGTAGAAGATGAGATGAGAGAATATTGCAACAGTTGTTAGAAAAATGAAGGCAGAGTGGAGGGGCGAGAAATGGCTCTGAATGGCAAATCCTTTCCGCGGGAGGATTTATGAGAGAGAACAGGCCACATGATGGATTTGTATGAATATTGCATGAACACAGGAGAACAGCTGAGTGGAGGGTATGGCAAGGCTGCAGCCAAAAGTGACTCTGTATGCATGAAGCCTGATCTACGGCGGGAGAAGCAGCCAGGAGCAAAGAAGTCAAGAGCAGCTAGTTTTTCTTTGTACCAAACAAATTAAGTCCTTCCTACAGCTTCTCATCTTTCAAGTTTCACCAGTCTAAAGCTCAACCAGAAACACAGAACTCATCGAATACACACACAACAACAGATGATTAACAACATTAAGGAAGAAAAACGAGTGCAAAAGAAAGGAATGTGGAAAAGATGACGGCAAACACACATGAGCTGAAGATCAATATTTACAATAAACATTCAAATGTGAGGCAACTTGTTCAGCCATGAAAGCACAGACTGGGCACACCTGTGCAAAATAGAGCTTCTCTTAGTAAAATACATTCTCTCTACATCTATCTTCAGCAAATATACGGCTCAGACTGAAATAGGATTTCTAGAACAGTCTACTTGTTAATGACGGAAGAAACTATTGATTATGTGTGTGCAGGAGTACAATAGCCCTGTTTATCTACATGTTATATTATCCAACAGGGGCTCACTTCACGATGACAAAGAACCAAAAGAGAGGAATGGATTTAAAAAAAAATGAAAAACCACGAATGAAAAGATGATCAAAACTCATAGTTATGAGGACAGGCAGTCTTTATTGGAAACAGGGGATGGGAGAATACAAAAACCAAAATAATAATAATAACAATAATAATAAAAACAGAAAGAGACAGACAGAGGAGGGGGGGGCCGGGCAGAAACGGGCAGAGATGGGGTTGATGGTGGGGCAGTCAGTGTGAGGAGGGATGGTGTGTGTGTGTGTGCATGTATGATGTATTTTGTCTGCAGGTGTGTGTTCGTGTGTGTCCATGATGGCGTAAGTTAGGAGGAATTGAAAGAGCTCTTACACTCTGCCTTTATGGCCCCACAGTTAATGGGCACAAAGGGCCGGCGTGCGGCACGGCGCAGCCTGATGATGTCGCGGCACATGTGACGGGCCAGCTTGGTGAGGCGGGTGGCCTGCAGCAGGAAGGCCTGCTTGGTCTTCATGGAGGACTTGGGGCTGCCGCTGTTTCTCATCGGCACCATGTGGTTGGACTGGCGGGGGCCGTGACCCCGAGAGCGAGGCTCCTGGGGAGGGAGGATGGTGCAGAGAAAAGATGGATCAACGATGACTCAAGAACATTAGTGTCTTCAAAAAAAACAAAATACAACCTGTGTGGTCTATCAGCTCAAAAACACAGTGAGCAGGTTGCTGTCTCGAGCCTTTTGAGACGTGCACTTCACTCCTGAAAACTTCCTGACATGTGTGAATGTACAAAACTGTGTAAACAACCGAAGCTGAACATCATTACTTCAGCCAAACTGAATCAGGGTAGTGTTGAGGTTTGAGCTCGTTTCATTTTTGCTTCAGAATGCAACCACTCAAAAACCTTTTTATTTCTCTTATTCAAGGCTTTGATGACGCCAACGATGCTCTCTCTCTCTTAATTCAGTCTCATAATTAGTCTTTGTTTCTAAGAACAGCAGTGGTTGACTAAAGGCCTTTCTCAAACCGCTCCCTCCACATTCAAACTCTAACAGGGAGTGTCTGACGTCACGCCTATAGCTGGATGAAGTTCCATTATTTAAGGTGGAGGGGATTAATGGAGCAGCTAGCTTTTGGACAAACTCCCCTTACACCAATGAAATTGTAAACTTTATATAATGCTCAGATGTCCACATAAATAACACTAGGCACACTCATTAAAATCACTCCACAATCTTGTCGTTTAATTCTGATGTTTATAAGATGAATCGTTTTTGTAAGTCCCCGTGAACATAAAAAACTTCACAGTCAAATAAAGACACGTACCGTTTTCAAGAGTAAAAATAGTCAGAATTAGAGCCCGACTGATTAATCGGCCAGCCGATAATATCCACCGATATCAAGTGATTATCAGTAATGGCTAATTTTTTCGCAGTTACAGTATGTGCCGATATTACTAGATTTATTCACCAGTCAAATCGCTTTTCATTTGAGTTTCATTGTATTACACTAGCAGTTCTCTTTCACTGAAACAAAGTTTTTTTTTGGATTACAACAAGCTTTATCACCCTCCAGAGTGTCAAGCGGTGATCCATGTCCATGCACAGTCACTTTCCTTTTGAGTGACCGTCTTGTCTTCATTATATATCTTTTCCACAAGTGTTTGATAACTGCATTTGGGAGATCAACATAATAAATGTGTGTGTATGTCTGTATCTCTATATCTCTACGGATCGAACGTAGACCTAAGAAAGATATCGGCCAATATATCGGTATCTGATTTTTTTTATCTCCCCAATATCGATATACGTATCGGCCCCTTAAAATCCATATCAGTCGGCCCTCCTGTAATTATATTGTTAACCTACATCTGTATGATATCAGTATTTCTATCTCATTTATAAGCGTATACATTTTTTCAGGTGACAAAACGTATCTTTGATGTATGAACGACTTACCTGACGGACAATAAATGTTGGTACACCTGTTCAGTAAACCGGTATCTGGAGCAAACTCACTGTTCTACGGTTTAACAGCCCACTCTCACTACACACACTAAGAGGTCTTTGATGCCACTCAATGTGGCCGACCCTCCACAGGATCTGTGTTTACACAATCGCATCAGTCGTCATTCTGCCTTGAACTGGTCAGTTTTCCGACACAAGAAAATGAATTTACAAAGCAGCATTCGAGTGGAGTCTTGAGTTTATTCTTCTTCATAAACAGAATTTTTTTTTTTAAATAAGTGTAGGTGATTTTATGCATGATGAAGCCTGTGTTCTGTGTGAATGGACTTACAGTGCTTGCCGGGCTAGGGGAGGTCCTCTCCTCTGGGGCCTCCGCTCTGCTTGGCATCTTCAGGCCGCCGTACTTCTTCCAGTACATCCAGCAGGAGACGCACAGGCGACACTGCATGTTTGGGGGCCCCCATGAGTACCACTGGGCTGACTGCATGGCTGTAAACGCACAAAACACATTAATGACTAAGGAGCAATCGAGGAGAAAACCGGTGTTCAGACACTCAGCATATCGATCCGTCTCACACTGTGTCAAGTCTCTCCATCGATGATTTTATCAATGTCCAATTAGACGAGTCAGAGAGCGAGCTTACTGCTGAGTGATGAAACAAGTATGTTAAGTAACTCAAGCATGTGCAGAAACATCATCTGCACAGATTTACTGGTAGGCAGGATTTGACCTCCTCATCCGTTCTGTTTCTTATTCACCCTGATTCTAGTTTTGAGCAGAGAAATAATTCAACAAAAATAAAAGAGTTCAAAAGAGAAAATCAGTGACTGGCTTCCATAACCGCTTTGATATTTTGTTAATTTAATCTGCTCAGTGATTAAGTCATTATAGTTAAGCTTTCACAAATCAAAGAATAACACTTCTTTTTGCTGCTTTTCAATTAATTTATCCTGCAAGTCTACAACCTAGAAGCTTTTATCATGAAGCAGCTTCATCTTCTGGTCGCTATTTTAAATGATGCAAGAAAGCCCTGACACTTTGATGTGCTTCTTTAAATACAAAAGGGATAAATAGATTTGACTTCCTTAAGAGATGGTAGGCAACCTTTTTTGTTTTTAAGCTGACAGAAAGGGAAACAAAATGCTAATGAAGATAATCAATGAATCAACTCATTGATAACAGGAAACTACAGAGGAAAACATTTGTTTGCAGCTCCATAAATCTGTACTTTTTCACACGTTGTATTTTCTGGTTTTGAAATGTCAGTTGACAAAACCAGAAACATGAAGAACATGAAGTTTATCAACAGACCCAGAAACAAACAGAACCCTATAGAGCTTATTTATCTGCAGCACAGCAGGCCTAAACTTTGCTTTGAGGATGTGATGAGCAGAATCGATAGAGAAAGAAAGTATTGATCAGTGGATTAGTCACAGCTGTCAGGATAAATAAGCACTGATGGAGAAAAGGTAAGTGAAAGCGTCTCTTCTAGAGTCAGAGACGCTCAATAGTGAAGAAGAATCCGTTGGCCGGCTGACTCTGCACTGGTTCACCTTTCATTTCTCACCGACCCGTGTTCACGTCCGCTCGTGATTTCATTTCACACTTGCGACGTTTAAACACTCGCACACAGACGCACAAACTCACTGTAGCAGCTCTCGCAGGCTCGGCCCCCGCCTGCTGCATGGAAGGCCCCGGGGCCGGCTCCGTTCACCGTCGCCATCTTGCCGTTGGTCATAGAGATCTGGTTGGGGTTGGGCTTGTTACTGTCAGAAAGAAATAAACAACGGCAGAGTGAGTGAAGCTGCCACATGTCACAGTAACGACACCAGCGACCGATAAATGTGAAATGACGTGACTTACTATGTGGGGATGTAAACTTGCTTTAGTTTGCTTTCGGCTTCTGCCGCCTTCAGTCTCTTCTACTCGGAGAAAGACAACAAGGGTTCATTCATTAATAACCAGACATGCAAACATGAAATCTGAAGCTGTCCGTCTTTTCTTCAAAAGAAAATCCTGTCAGACAGTTTAACACCTTTTACAAGACTGTTATTCATCAGTCATTTATTAAAGCTGCCTATCAAAGATGATTGTAAAATGTGATAATTCCTCGACCTTCCACTCATAATCCAACCGGCTAAATACATGAAATATCCGTTTATAACCCTGAGGGAAGAACAGGTTTTTAATCATCATTTTGTCTTTTTTAAATAGATGTATTCCTACTTCTCTGTTGCTTATTGGACAACTTCTAAACTTTTTCTGGACTGAAAATAATTTCCCTTCAGCTTTATGTCCCTAAAGGGCCATTCCAACAACTTTACACATAAAACATCTCAAACTGTTTTGTCATGAGAGGGAGCACTACAGAGGAGTGAAAACAACCGTTTCATTTTTTTATGTCTGCGTGAAGGGACAGAGCTTTGTTCGATCTCAAAGAGTCACTGTGATGACAGAAAACCTGCATTAATGAGCTTCAAAGATGATTTAACCGCTCTTGTAAATTACATTGCGCAGGCTGAGGGATGTTACGCTTTTACAATCTCATATTTATCTTCATTTTTTAATCATCTGTCTCTCGCAGTTTTCCAACTTTTAGGTTTATTTCTTAAGTGTAGCACTTCATCATTTAAATACCCATATGCAACGCACTGGTCGAAAGAATAGCACAGAAAACATGCAGAATATCATTTCAAAAAGCAGACCAGCTTAAACAAATCCAAGTATATAAAGACTAAAAAGTTACATTAACTTCAAACTAATCCAAACGTTACATTTGTTGTTGCCTTTGTAACATTTCTACTGGATGTTTTATGACAACTTTTACAGTTTAACAAGAAAACCCTTCAAAGGATAGGCTAAGCCCTTATCTTGGTTCTAAAACTGAACATGTTACAAAATGTCCCAGCAGGAAGGACAATTTATCCAATTCTTTTGAGCATCCTGAATGAGTCTCACCTGTTGCACATATCTGTCTGTGGTCTTCCACATGTAGTAGTACTCTATGATGCTTGTCAGAGACTTCCATGGCAGCTTCATGAGCGGTGAGAAGGAGAAGTGTGGAGAGAGGGAGAGAGAGAGAGAGAGGGGGGGGAGGAGGAGGAGGAGACAGAGAGCAAATTAATGATATTAATATCTCATGTTCTTGCCATCTGGGTGCGAAAAGCCTTCATGTATATTCATGAGCGAGAGGCATCGTGACCACAGAGGCTGAAAGCTATCGGCTTTGCATGATTCGGTGAAAACACACACACACACGCACACACACACAGTGATTCACACATTTAATAAGTATTCATGAGCACCTGGTGCCACCACGGACGCCCGTGTTCTGCTTTTACTGTACAGCTTAGGTAGGCGCAGAGGGGGTGAGTAAAGGTCAATTGGATCAAATAATCTGACTGCTGGAAAGACAGCTGCAAAACTGGTTATTGAGAAGTAGAGCATGTTTTTCATGTTCTACTTGTCGTATGCTCTCGTGGAGGTTAACAAGTGTGAATGCCCCTCCTAATTCCTGCCTTAATGCTCAGATTTTCACAATAAGACACATTAAGGGCTCAGCTTCTTTGCATCCTTTAAACAACGGGTAAAAAAACAGATGACAACAAAAACACTCCGGACAAATAAACACAAAAACACTTCAAGTATTAAATTAAACATTGTTATTGTCAGAGACAATTCTGCCTGTTAAGAGGAACGTTTCCTTGCCAGTGTAACTTTGCTAAATGTTGCTCAGTGCAAAGCAACATCAAAGGGGGTCTTTGTCAATAATATAAAAAGTAAGGTGTAGTGTTGAATTGGCGCTATACAAATAAAGCTTTGATTGGAGGGCAGTTTTCACACACACTTACAAAGTCTTGTCGGATGTCATTGAAGTCTTTTCCGTATTTCTCTAGCGCCTCTTCGAACATGGCCGCCTCTGATGCGCTCCACTCCTCCATCTCGTCCCTGCAGAGCACCGGGCCGCCCGCCGGGACCAACACACTGAGCGCACTGGACAGGTCGTAGTTGTGACGATGCAGCGTGTCCATCGCATGGAACTGCAACCAGAACACACACAGAACGGTCGTCGCAATCTGTCTTTAAAGTCCCGACCAGGTACTAAAGGTTTGCAACTGTTCCATCCATTCTCTGTTACTGGAATGATCAGTAGCATCTAAAAGTACCGAAGCTTTGAAAAAGATCGACAGTCTTATTTTTAACTAAATGCTGCTGCATGCAAAATAGTGAGAGAGCAGCAGTGATAACTCAAACTCACAGGTCAACATAAGTGACATTTATCAAATATTTTAAGCGTCTCATAAAAGATGCCAAATTTAACATTCATGTCTCGTACAGTCAGTCAGTGTTTGGTAATAAAAAAACAGAAATGGCCAATTATGGTGTGCCGAAGACTTTAATTGTTTTGCCGTGGTATTGGAACAGGCATTGAAATCATTTGATTTGTACCATTATGTGAATTATTGAAATTTTAACTTCTGGTATCGTGACAACCCTATCAGGGACTTGAGTACTCCTTTTTTTTTTGTGTGTGTGTCCCACCCACCAGTGTGATATCTCGTGAGGCTGCAGCTGCACTCATGTGTAAACTCGGCTGTCTGACTGAACTGCTACAGTCCAACGCTCGAGCAAAGGTCCCCACCGCTCTGAAAACACACACACACACACACACACACACACACAAAATACATTAAACGAGCAAGTATACTGCAGCGTCGTATATCTCTGTCAGCGGGGCTCATTGTTTTGGTAATGAGTTTTTATAGAAAAATAACAAGACGGCAATACACAGCTCTGAATATGCTTCTATTAATCATGAGCAGAAAAAAAAAAAAGACTGCAAACATACAGAAGCAAATAATGATCTAAACAATACATAGATTTCACTGTTGAAACTGTTTGCGTTATTCATTTTTAATGTTGTTTTCAGCACATTATACATCAATTACCAACTGATTACCTCTCCCAAGGACTTAATGTTTTTGGTGCTGCTTGTTGATAAATCATAAACAAGAGTTTATAAAAAAAATTACAGTTAAGATTTTCCTGAAACTTGTTCAAAGGCTGACGCTTCAGCTGAGGACAAACCGTCAAAGTTGGTCCAAAATCTGCTCCAAAAAGCGAAGAGGTTTCTAATTTTCTCACACATCGCAAGGTAGACGCAACAAATAGTACAGTTTGTGAGTTTTGAAGCATTGGCGGCTGCACAATGGAGGATTGAAGTTGAATGCATGCTGCTAGATGAAACTGAGCAAAGTTAAGAAGGTCTTACCGTGCCACCACTAGGAATTGGTCTATCTGTTTGTTGGTGAGTGGACACTCTGGATCCCACAGCTTCTCTTCTAGCTTGGACTGGTCCCTGTCGTCTGCCTCACCTGCGCAGAGATAACAGCTTACACTCAGGAAAATCCACAAACGGAAGAATTATTTCCTGATCTGATTGACATTCAAAACATGATTACGCTCTATTGAGGCTGCTTCGTTCACATTCAGGTTTTTGCTCTGAGACTTAATTAAACTTGTTGAAAAGGAGGATCATATGTGACCTTTAATACATATTTTATACAAGCTAGACAAATACCCTGATTGAGCTCAGTTAGTTATTCAAAATCTAGAACATTTTGAATATTCAAGTCCAACATGACCATATCTTTTATTGTTGAAGTCAAGCAAGGCAATATCAGGAACAAGGAAAGTCAATCTTGTGCTTTATAACCATAAAACAATTATCCCGCCATGATTTCAATTTACTTCAACGAGAAAAAAAAGCCGCCGTTGTCTCCTTTGGTAGAATAATGCCTGTAGATTCTCACCCTTTACACAACAACAGCTTTTCTGTGCCTTTACCCTTCGAGACCATTCACACATAAACAAACATCAGCTGTTGATAATGAGGCAGGAGATGGAAAAAAAAAAAAGGCAACAATGCAGGCCTAATTAATTAGCCGACATGTCCAGTGAGTCACTTTGTGTGCAGCTCAGAGTCAGACAGACCTTCTTGTAGCATCTCAGGTACGTCTGCCTGAAAGCGAGGTCCCACTCTGATCTCTCCTTTGTCGGCCAGGAGGGTTTTCTGTGTCGGGTCGTACACCAGCGAGTAGAAGAACGTATCCTGAAGGAGGAAACAGACCAGTCAGCCTCAGTATTTTATAAGATACACACATTAATGTCCATTTCAGTGATTCCAGCTCTGCCATCAAGAATTTACATCCAAAACTTAATTTTCATAAAAGGCTTCCTGGGCGTGAAATGAACAATTACAGAATTGTAAGACTTTTGTACACCTTTAATCCCAATCTGTTGTGTGACAGAATAATTAAAACGTTAACAAGTAAACAAAGTTTTGAGACATAAATGATGATTCCTTCTTTAAAAAAAAAAAAGGCTTTATAGATTAGTTATAAAAGAACAACCTGCAAATACTCTGATAATTTTCTGTATTCCTAAAAGTCTGCTTTTAGCTACTGAAAATGAGGATTTGTTGCCACTTCCTTGTTGTGTGATAATATATGATAATATTTTCCTCTGTCATCTTAAAATATCATCACAGTAATTAGAAGCTCAGCACCTGTGTGTCCAATCGGACTCAAAGCTGAACGTTTGCTCTTACTGACATTGTTCCCTTTTTTTCTAGATCCTTGCTTGTGTTGTTCTTACTCTCTGATGTACGTCGCTTTGGATAAAAGCGTCTGCTAAGTGAATTGTAGAAGTTGTGGCCCTTCACTTTCCTCTGCGCTGTTTGGACTGGAGAAGAAAATAAAAGGCAATAAAGTACGACCTTGGCCTGCTATGACACACACACACACACGCGCGCTCGCACAAACAAACAAAGAGATGACACCTCGTGTTTTCTTTTCTCTGACTCACCTCTTTGTCGAGGTATGAAAGAACGGCTTCGGTCTCATTCAGTAATGCAACACTGCACTTCCCCCTAACAGAGAGAGGAGAGGGGAGGGGGGGTAAAACATGATGTTAGTCACAAACGCAGGAAGTGAGCAGTGGTAGTTTTGTCTGTTCACGGCTGGATGAGTGACCATCCATGAGCACTGCCGGCAGACGATGAGCAGCAGGGTTTGTGTGCCTTTGTCCTGGTGCTAGGCAATAAAGCTATCATGGCAGGAGATGCAGATTAAATTCCACAACAATTACAAACTTTTGAAATGTGTACTCATTAGGGATGAGTTAAAAAGGCCTTTTACAGAGCTGAACAAGTAACAATCAGAATCAGAAATGCTTTATCAATCCCAGGGGGAAAGTCAGTGACAAACGCCAGTTGCTTGTGGTGTTTTGCTTTCACTTTGCACATTGTTTGAGCTGCTGCTGAATAAAGCCGATGTGCTCTGTTAAAGAGACACATAACAGGTATCAGGTGAAGTACAGGACACTGTGGCGGGAAAAAATGGAAACATGAAGTTAATTTGATGGGCCTTGGTGGCAGTTTGGCAAGCAGCGCCCTCAACAGACACGCTGTGACTGCAGAAAATTAACTGATATACTTAGTGCTCTGACTGGTTTAAATCACCACAGCAGTTTTTTAAGAAGAGGTGGAGACCGCTGTGGATAATTCTGCCCTTGTTAAAAACTACATAAACAACAAAGAAACGAATCCTGACCTGGAAACAAGACAAGCTAATGTACGGTAATCACCAGCCTTTCCTGATTACATTCATCCAGTGATGAGGTCTTTAAAGGGTTAATCCTTTATTTATTTTTATTTGCAGGTTTTGTTACTGGGTATATTTGTTTGTAATAGCAGGAGACAAAAGTAAACCAAAGCTGAAACAAGCTGGGCTTCTTAATTCTCCCCTGGACGTGACTGTATGTATGTTGTATGATGCATCCCATTTAGACCTAAGGCCGTCTAAATAAAAAAAACACCCTAAAAAAATCTGAGTAATGTGTGAAAACTATCTCCCAAAACCTTCAGAAAAACTGCACATTTTTTCAACATCTCATCAGGTCTTAAAGGTATATACACGCAAATGTTGGCAAAAATGTGCTACAGACATCTTTGGCTCCTGTAAATGAACTCGCTGGTTTATTGTTATAAGCTTGTTTTTAATCAGAAAACTTCTCAAACCGGCATTATTTTGAAACTTTTTTCAAGTGATATATAGATATATATATGGATATTGTTCAATACCAAAAAAACATGTGATGTGACCAGAGTCTTCATACGGTACCTGATGTGTGTCGCAGGTAGACTCTCGTACTGCCGTGAAAGAAAGAGCTCTCTGTGGCGAAGCTGGTGTTTCTGTTTGTCTGTTAGGTCCGTCTCCGTCGGACTTTCCTTCTCTTCTTCCAACTCCTCTGCAGGAGGCGAACACAGGAGAAAACTACATCAGAATCCTCTTAATGAAAATAGAGGCTATGTGTGTGGGGCAAGTTGATGATACAAAGCTGGTTTAGTGTTGATAAATAAATAAAACGACCAACAGATAATCAGAGAACCCTCTGATTATTTAACCATATTTACTAACTGTGCTCTCTAATGGTATAAAACAATAGAGTAGAAAAATGGCTCGAGGGCTTTGCAATTACAAATTATTGTGTCCATCTTTTATACGAGACATTATGGCTATTATGCGCAAGATTATTACTGGAAATATAGATATAATATATATATACACACACACACACTGGAGAAAAGCGCATTCATCCATAAATACTGGATTAGCTACCGCTGAGTCAGCACCTAATGTGATGCAGCAGCAGATACACATTTTAAATCACTGTTGCACTTTTGCAACTATCCACTTTGATAAATAAAGATTGTCTGCCATTTGCATCTACTTATTTTTACACCAGTTGTTTTTAAGAGCTAACACTGGCACTAGTAAAGCTTCACAGCCGTGCGAGAAATTCTCCTGAACTGCAGATTTCCACAACAGCCTCAAGCTGCCAGTGGGCTTCTTCAGAATGACTCCATGATCAGATAGCTTCGGAAACCCCCCTCCTCCCACATCTTTCTGTTACGATCCAAACCTGACACTCGCACACCCACTTCACGCCATCACTAGCCAGCTGTGATGGAGGTGTGAGGACTAGAGCCGACCGAGGTTTGAATCTCTCCTTTGAGATGTCTTCCTCCCCCCCAAATCCTCCACGGTCTATTTCTGCTATTTACATGTGAATGACAGAGTGTAGCCCTGTAGAGCCTTACAGGAGGGACCGTCTAAAAATGTGTTCCGACATCAAAATCATTTAACAAAAGTCCCTTTCACACATGCCAAAAAGTTCCCCAAATGTTCAACATGAGCCGCATGTGTGAACAGCCGTTTTTTCACCTTTTACATTTCACAGCGCATCTGCACGAGCATGTGACAAATACAAATCTTGAAAACCTTGACTTTACCCAGAATTCTTCCAGTCAGCCCCCAGAGTAATATTTTTAGAAGATGTTGGAGTGAGGTGATGTGTGAACACAGCAGGAAATATTCAAGAAAAAAAGGTGGCAAGGTGATGACGTTGACGACGTCTGGGGCGATACAGGTGTGACCTTTCTGAATATGTCCAATTACACGTAGCATTGATGTAAAAGCCAAATATGGCATCATGGTGTCAAATCTGTTGCAGATGGCAGTTATTTAATGTAAACGTTACACTTTGACCCCGCACTGTTCATGTCCTGCCCACTGAGACACACAGTTTTAGGAGTGTGGGTGTGATTGGGGCTAACATTATCACCCCATTCGCTACAAGGCCAGCTTTCACTCTCACTTTCACAGTCTGTTTATTTCAAACATATCTGGATGCACGGTGCAAACTGTTTCTATTCCAACACAATGCATCCCTTAAGCTGAAGGTTGACAGGCTGTGACTTTGTGTATTTACACTAAAAAAAAAAAAAAAAAAAACTAAAAAACTGGCTTTTCACTAACAACAAAAAAAAGCTGTTAAAAGATTTTCTGAATAGTCAACCTGAACGACAGGTTGAGAACTGGAGAACAGTTTCATAGAGAAATACATTGGTTGTCTAAGGCCCACCTAGCGTTTTTTTTAAAATTTGATTTCAATGAGAAGAGTGTTCGCAGCACCTGGAGAGAAAGCGCAGCGCCCAGGGTATTTTTATCTGAGCTCGCCTCTTCTTTTTTTTTGTTGCTGTGACCTCAGCTGTGTCTCTGGTAACCTTTATAAACGTCCGTCATATGTCAGTCATTTGTTCCTTCATTGTGCTGCTGTTCTTACTTTTATCCAACCTCACTCTTATCGACTCTTGATGATATTTCAGAGCTGTATTTGTTGAGCAGAGAGAGAGCTAATGCTAACTGAAGTTTTTTTGTTTCCTTCATTGTGCTGCTGCTGGTTCACACTGAAAGTTTCCCACCAACGTAAACCACTAAGGACGACTACAGGAAGTCTACCTAACCCTGCGGTTACAGACCAGCTGCTTACTCAAAGGTCTTCACAGCACAATGCAAACATCTTAAGGGGGACTTTATCAAGGCATGAGTTAATGTACACATTCATATATAGCAAGGTACAAAGAATCAGTTTCACCTGTGGTTACAAAGCTAAGGGTTCAATCATTTATCAGCATGACGATGAAGCAGATGCTTTTTTCGTTTTCAATGATGGCACCAGAATAGCTTCATTACAGCTCGCATGAGACGTTCTTTTAAAAAAGGTGACAGGCGTCATTTTCAAGATCTTTTCTACTTTTAGTAAGCGTGTTAGGCCTTAGAGAGACCCTTTAGGAGCCTCCACTTTCAACCACTTGAGTGTCTCACATTATTTTGGAGACTTTAGGTTGTCAAATATTCAACTCAAGAGTAGAAAAGCACTGCAGGTGATTCATTCCCCCCCCCCCCCATGGTCAACAATCATTCAGGAAGGCTTCTTGTTGTGCTAGAAAGCCCAGCGGGCCTTGTCCCTGCAGCAGCAGGGGGGCTCTAGAGCATACGGAGCTCCCCCAACCTTCAGCGAGATGATCGGGCACTACTACCACCCGACGCACAGCCACCACCATCAGACTGTGTCGTCCCCACAACCACCAGACCGCGGTCTGCTCCGACCTCCTACTCAGCGGCAAGGAAGTGTAGACAACATGAACGCGAGGAATACAAAGGAGAAATCCTTCCTGCATCTTATCCCATCTCCCTTTTGCAACATAACAGTGAGTAAGGTCTTTTACCTGCTCTTTTGTCAAGTATCTCGAGATAACATTTGCTTATGAATTGGCGCTATCCAAATACAGATTGATTGATTGATAACTGATAATTCAGCGGTAAGATGTGACCAAAGTTGGTTACCATGATTTTACCATGAAACCTGGAGGCAAATTCATGCAGTGCTTAAGATTTGGGTAAGTTGTCAAAGGGAAGGTGATGCTGGAGACACCAGCAACAATTTTAAATGTATCAAACTGGACGTCATAAACATATATACAGTCAACATGTCTAAACTTTTGCGACTCAACTTGTCAAATAGTAGTTTGGTAATAAGAACAGATATTTCAGCTTCGACTTCTACATACTTCTTTTGTTTGTTTGTTACAGTGAATGAGATTTCTTGGCTGTCCTTTTGTTTTCTCCCTGAATTATTTGGAGCCAAAACTTATGCCATTGTTTTAGGCAGTGATAATGTGTTTTTATCGTTGTCTCTTTGTCTTCTGCTGACCAGCTGGTGGACGAGCGACTCCAAAAGCTCTGTGGATTTGGCACAGCGCTTCAGTGAATGCATATGTCCCGGCATACTGTTTAGTTTTTTGTTTATGCGTTTAAGGTTGCTGTATGTTTACACAGTCGAGCCAAATCAGCAGAACTGGTTTTCCACAAACAGCCTCTCAACCCAGAGAGAGTAGTATTTATACAAACACTACAGTCCTGTCATCCAGAGCCTCAGCCACATAAACTTTATGAAACGATCTTTACTGCATCTACTTTCTGCCTCTCCATCATCCCCCTGAAAGGTGTGGCATTTGTTTAGTACAGGGGAGATTTCAATTTCCATAGAGCAAACACTTTTTTTTTGGTTTTTCAATTGTGACCAACGGACAAAGTGAAGCATCGCTGGAAACGATTAAAAGGCCTCCCACACAGAACAGGTGTTGTTGTGATAACAACACTTTCCTATCCTTCCTTCTTCTCCTCCTCATACAGCCTCACTCACACGGCAACGCTCTCACTCGCTGTAAAAAGTGATTGAGAAATAAATGTGCTGCAAATACGAACAGCGGCATGTTTTTTTGTTTTTTTAAGTCCTGCTGTGATACCAGTTTGGTGGCCCGCTGGAGTCTTGATTTACAATTTAAAAAACAATTACGACCTATGCTGCAACGTGCAAAGGATGGGCTCAGTGGAAACACAGCTGGAAGTGTGTGCATGACTGAGGTGCAGCAGGAGGCCCATAATATGATTTCCCTCACTACTCTTTGTCAGAAAATATAAATGTACCCAAGAATCACACCGGTTCTAAAAGCATGACCATTCACTAATTAAGAATTGGAAACTCCCTATAAATTTGGATTTAAATTGTTTATCAGGTTTGCAAGCCAAAAAATAATAATAATAATAATAATAATAATAAATTAATATTGGCACTACCCAATGTGAGGATTTGATGCTTTATTTTAACCAACATGTTCTCTTTATCAATTAATGACTGTGACAAATAACCTAACTAATAACAGTTGGTCCATTTAAATGTAGAATTGCAAATACTGCTCGGTTCATCCAAGGAACACTTTGAATGGTGGTTGAACAGAAACTATTTAAGACAAAGAGATGACATGATCACTTTTTTTTGTAACATTCCTCAATACGTTTTTTTGGCCAAGAGAAAAAAAAAATGTAAATCATTATTTTTTTTTAGTTTCAAAGAAGACTTTTTTTGGGGCCTTAAAAACACAATTTTCTCTTAAAAACACGACGTCAAACCCCGAGTTAACCAAGTTCTAATTGCGAGTTAACGTGACCGCCTACAGTAGTGCCTTTGTTAATGTTAGCCAATACCAGGCAATAACACACGTGACAGTTTGCACGCAAAAATAACACAACATGTCCACAGATTAAGCTTGCACAATACTATCAGTGTGATGGATTGAATTACACACAAGACTAATAGACTAGAATAATAACCACAATAGTCCCGGCGTAAACGTCACTGTTGAGGCACGTAGCAGCCATGTTGGATTATAACTCAGGCTACTGGAGGACACTTCAAATGAAAATGCAAAATAAGTGTAATTGGACACATTCAGAATATCAACAAAAGGAGCAAAGAAGAACATTCGGACTGACAGAAAACATAATAAAGCAGTGGCAGCCATACAGACTTTGGTGGCAAGATATAAACACCCCCCATCGCTCTCTTTTTTGTCTTTTCTCAATTCTGCTCACCCCAACTTCACAAGAACATTTTACCTTGGGGGTTTGGCAAGAAAAATTTGAGTAACCTTCAAGTGAAAAATTCAGCTGTTGGTGTTCACACATGCAGCTCACTTTGGACATTTCAGGAAGTTTTCAGGAGTTTAGCGCAAGTGTGGAAGCACTATTTCATTCCTGCGCGAGACACGTGAGCAACACAGTTTGGATTCTGAACGTGTGTGACAGGAGCCACTACTCACTTGCATGTTTGTCTGCGAGCTGGATGAGGCTGTGGGAAATGTCTCGCCTTCTGTAGAAACACACCACCTTGGCCTCCACATTACCGCTGGCCGTCTGAAAACAGAGAGAGGATCCAGGTTAAGCGAGAGAGCTGGCAACACCTCCCTGTGCAAGCCTCTAATTTCCCAAGACACCTTGCTCCTTTGTGTGATTGCCAGGTTATGTTGCTGTGACAGGATGACCAAGCCAGCTATAGTGCTTTGGATCAGATGATTGATGGATTGTCTCACAGTGTAGTTAGGCTGCCAGACTTAAAGACTCAGCCAGTATTAAATGTCATGACTCACAGGGAGTGAAAGGATGAGAGGGGGGGGGGGGGTTATGTTTTTCATAACTGCTATCAACGTCTACTGCTTTCACAGAGAAAATCCAGAAGAAGATGCATTGGAAACGGAAACATGAAGGATATGGACATGGTAACAGACCTCACAAATACTTCACAAAACCATGCACACCACCATCACCTTTTCAAGCTAAAGCAGCAGTTCACTGTTAGGATAACCCCACACTTACAGTGTTTTCATTGCTCCTGCATTTATTTATTTATTACTTCAAACAAAATCACCCCTAAAGTATGAAAAATGTACAAACAGAGACCTTAAAAATACGACATTGTAGACACTCAGGTAAGCTTCTTGTTGAGGTTTTATCAGTCATTTTTTGAGACTGTGGTGCATCTATAGAAAGTGTATACATTTTCATTTTGAATGTTACCGATTTGTAAAAATGTTAATGAATTTGCCCATTCTTGCTTACACTATATCGCAGTTGACACGGTATCATGGTTCATATCTAATGGCCATTCCTGCCAATCGTCTGTTCACAAATGGGGCTAATGTTGTGCAGTGTGCACTGAATCAGCAGAGTAGAGACGAAATGGCAAGAGGACACTTAACAAGAACAATCAGAAGAGTTATTGAACTCTTGAGTAGAAGTTAAATGTGTTTTTGTTAGCGAACGCGGCGTGGCTTCAGTACCGCGGCTCACTGTGCAGACCCTGACTCCAAATACGCAACATGTCAGCGCTCCTGATGGGGGTATTTTGGCTTCATCTTTGCACAATGGGGAGGCTGAGGTGCATTGTACATCTTATTATACACTACAGTCCATAGTCCAAACAACAAGTAAATCTCAGGTCTTAGTTTTCTCCATTGATGATGCATTTGCAGCATTTTCTGCAACCAAAAAGACTGCTGCAGACCATCTGTTTCCACATTAACCTGGCACACACACTCCCATTGTGCATGAATCCTTGTGTACTTTGCAAAGAAAAGGCTTCCAGTCCAAACTGAGATCATATCTGGCACACTCCTAAAATAATGTCTGACAGTAGATCCTATTCGTTTTTAAAACATTCTGGTAAAGGAAAATGTTTTTGTCTGGACAGAGCCTCAGCCTCTACATACTTTATTTACTGCAGGGATTGCATCATGCAGCAGGGAGATCCTGTTATTTGTCCACCCCCTCTACCACTTATTAGAATCACAATATCTCCTACCTTAACTTTTTAATGCACAAACTCAAATGGGGTTTTATTTCGTTTTTTTTCCAGACTGGTATCGACCTGATCTGACATTTCCCACCCACAACATCTGATAATGACGTGCATTTATCCGAGTAAATGGAAACAAGGGAGAGCTTCACTCAAAGGCATTTTAAAGATGCCTTCCTGTTATTTAACATGTTCGCTTCAGGCGGCCGTTAACTGAAACACTGAGGAAATTATTTTAAACAGGCTACACCACAACAGTTCAAATATTGACAGAAAAACATTTGACCAGGTTCCTTTCAGAGCTGGCACTGACTGATCATTTAGTCAAAAGCTATCTGAGCTCCTGAAAGTTCATTATAATAATGTATACCGCCTACAAACACAAACACGCACTCCCCCAGGTGTGTCCTGTGACACAAACGGCAGTTAGGTGGAGACGAGGGAACACCTATCAGGTTTAATCAAATTACTAACACTTGGAAGTCACAAACATCATTGCAAAGAGGGGGAGGGGACAGGAGCAGAGAAGAATCCTAGCTATTTGACCTAAGGCATTAAAACAGCATAAACACACACACACACACACACACACACACTAAATGACACAAACAGCTCAGTACCTTGTTGAGTTCTTCTATCCGGCGGATCAGGTAAGGGTTACTGGAGGAGTTCTCAAAAAATACATAATCTGCAACAGAAAAGACACATTGTATCAGATCACTGAGACAGCACAGGTGAGAATGAGAAACTAGGCAACAAAACTAAGTACTAGGTTATTAGGTTCACCTGTAAAAAAATAAATAACACCAAATGAAACAGCTCAGTCATATAGAAGATGACATTGTACAGTTCTGATTGACAATGTCAGAAACGTACGATTTAACAATGCGCTCATAACCGGTGTTTCTACTTTGCACTGATGTTGAACTGGCCTGCATTATTTGGAGAGAGACGACTATAACGCGACGCGATAATGAGAATATTTGCCTTTATATCAATGCTACGTGTAGTCCAATGGAATGACAACATCCACAAAAGAGAGGAGAACAACATACTGACGAACAGAAAACATTATGCGGCCGTTTGAGTACGTGCACGGAGATCGTAGTGGTCGTGTGCAGACACTTCAGCCGGTCACTATATGTATAAACGTCACTCGGGTCCCATTGGCTCGAATTGAAAATCTCCGGAGTTTACGCGGCGGCCGCGTTCAGACATCAGCTCGCTCGGATATTCTGCGGATAAAATACTAGGGGTCTGGCCGGGGAAACTCCGGGTGAAGCCCGCGAAAAATGCGGCTGTTTGCGTTCACACATAGCCTAAAGAACCTCCAGGTAACCAAATCTCCGGAGTTTTTCAGGAGATTTCCATATGTGTGAAAAGGGTTAGACAGAGAGAGAGAGAGATAGAGACAGAGAGAGAACAGTTTCTAATGTTTTTCCAAAAGCATTATCCATTTTTGACTTTTCTCCATCATTCTTGTAGGATAGGAGGAGCTTGTTTTTCAACACCATGTTACTGGTTTTTCTATGCTATCTGTGGTGTCCTGGTCAATTGTCACAATGGTACAATAAGTATGCAGAAGCCTTGTTCTTTCTCTAACTTCTTTGTTTTGTCCCTGTGTTTAATAACGGCCAATTTATTACCAAACTCTTTTATAATAACACAAGAATAATGGTACATGGCTTGACTATAATAACTTCATCAAAAGACTTTTAAACTCAACGTTCATGCCTGCTGGTGACGTTAGTATTAGCGACTGCACAGGTCTGCAATATATTTTTGCACAATGTATCCATCCAGACACTTTTGGGGAGAAGTTCTATCACTGCATTTTGTACAAATCTGTTCCTTTTAATTAATTTATGTTTGTAGGACTTTAAAAACTGATAACACTAAAGCTGACATCCAGAAGAGTGCTTGATTCTAATAAATGTTTATACTTCTACAACCCTGATAAAAAGAAAATCTTTCGGACTGGGAGTTTACAAGCTTTGGACACCGACGACATAAATGACTGTGTCTATCTTTCAGATTCTGCATCAAGTCTCTCAATGAAACCTAGAAAAGTCGGCCTGCGAACGTTTTTAGTGTCAGCACAAATATTTTTGTAAAAACAAAGCAGGGTGACACAACTGTTTCTCCATCCTGATTTGTTTATATCAAAGAAACATAGGAAAACTAGTACGTATCATCTGTTTATATTCTAATAAACAAATAGCTACATTAAGAGCTCTCTCACAGATACAAAAAACGTAAAAAATTAAGGATTTGTGGCAGATGTGTTGTTTTGGGCGGGATTCAATTGTACAGGTGCAACTGAAAAACAAGTGGATTGCAAATGGATTTGTACATTGCAAACACCGCCCTGTTTCCAACTCACTAAAACATGAATAAACAAAGAGAAAAGTGGCCGAGTAAGTCCTCCCTTACTGTTTCAGCTAACAACAGAAGCATTTATATCTGTTGTGAAGGTCAAATCAATCAGCAACTGAATCATTAAAGACCAAGTTAAAAACATAACCGAAGACTATTTATTTCAAGTGGGCAATTTGTAATGAGTAAGCATGAGTATCAGATTCCAAGGCAAGGCAAACCTATATGCACTGCTTTATTTCAAAGACTGTGACGGAGGAAACACGCAGCTATGGTTGTGTACGTTCAATAATTAGGACGTGGATGTGTCTTATTCAAAGTTTTCCATTGCTCATGAACAAAAAAATCCGCATAAATGTGACTTCAGCTAGACTGTGGACACAGAAACCCAGAAATGGGCAGAAAACACAGTATGTATGGAAAGCATCAAGGCATTTCAAATGCTACGTCTCATTGCTGTCTGAAAAAATGTAAATACAAATGTGCCAGACACTAACAATTCAGTCAAACGGCTGGAGTCAAACGTAGTCACTCAGTGTATTTAATCAACTCTCGTCAGCCTCTGGAATCAAAACATGTTAAACCACAATGGCAGGATTGTAAAAAGCATATGTTTAAGTCTGACTTTCCTTTTATGTTGCTAAATAGTGCTGCACATTGTAGGATTGCCTTTTACGCTCCAGAAGATACAATATTCGACTATAGGCGAACTGTGGGGAGTCAAGTGTGTGTGTGTGTGTGTGTGTGTGCTCCCCTTCCTCTCCACGTTGATACACTGACATCCTAAATGCATTTTTTTTTTTTTTTAAATTCCAGGGTAGAGCACTACAGCTGAAAATATGGGGTTTAGCTACCCTTTAAATATGACCACCTATACATCAAGAGAAAGTTTTTGCAAAGTTCTCAAATGTAAGAGCTGCAGTTTCCACAGAGTACTTGAAGGCATCAGGGGAACTACAGTTAAGGTGACCAACAAAACACACTAAAAAAAAAAGAGAAAGAAAAGAAACGATAGCAGTGGCAACAATATCCCCCCTCATTGCTTATCACTGTGACTGCTCAAAGCAATTTCTGCAGGTTTTGAGATTATTCAAGGTCTGGTTTGTAGATTTTTTTTTTTTTAGAGGTGCTAATCCAAAACCTTGACGCAACGACGCCATGAATCGAGACTATTATTTGATGTGAATTCCTGCAGACTGCTCACAATTTTAGCAAGCCCAGAGGGAGAACAATCCGCTTATTGGCGACACTTGAGGTGACTGTAGGTGAACACCTTGCACGTAAAAGTTACCAACACTGATAAATGCATCGATCCGACGCGATGAGTCGAGCTGCAAATCGGGCTAATCAGTGAGGCCACTGGCTGATGCTAACGTTAGCTTCAATAAAAAAAGGACTCGTACTAAATGGCTGCATGCCAGAAGAGGCAAATACAAAGGCAAGCCTCAGACCTCCCGTGGTAACGTTTTTAAGCTACCTATGTGTAGCCGAGAAGTCCCTGGCAGTTTTTCCGCCCCCCCCGCCACCTCTCAGGTGTTATCAAGACCAAGAAAAGGTGCAAGGAAATAAAATGTTTACATTGTAGGCTAAAGCCATTTAGCCGAGCTGCAGGGCTAGCTGCTGCTGCTGCTGCTGCGGCCACGACAGACGCGAGGCCTGACCCATTTTGAATCCCTAAATATTTACAAATTATCACCTTCCTGGTTAAACTTAAACGCGCAAAAGTGTTAGCACAGTCGTGTCTTCATATAGGATGCAAGACACACAGCAATACTAGCCTCGTAACCCCTTGCAAGGGATGCAAAACTTGAAGGGGTTTTCTGTTTGATACATAGGAGAAAAAAACAGAGAGATCCCACATTGACATACATACCTCCGACCCGGTACATGTTGGCCGCCATTTCTGCCCTCCCGGAGTGTTAACGTAAACCATAAACTAAAGAGGAGACTCGAATAAATTAATAATAATAAAAAAAAACAATAAAACTCCGTAACTTAAAAGGTAAAACAAAAAGAAAAGGTGCGATGAATTATGATCGTCGAGACTCCGGATGTGAGCCCAGTCGGGAGGTTTTTTTTTTTTTTTTTTTTTTTTTTTTTTTTTTTTTGGCAAATCAACCCCCCTCCTCCTCCTCCTCGGATTCACTGTTCCCTTTTACAATACAGTGAACTCACGGCAGCCAAAAGAAGTCGGATCAACCCGAAAAACCACTGGTGACGTAGAGAGGAGGGGAGGGGAGGAGAGGAGAGGAGAGGGGAGGGGGTGCGCACGCGTAAACACTAACGCACACACCACACCACACGCGTGCAGATACGAACACCGTTAGCTGTAAAAAAATAAAATAAAATAAAAAACCCAAAAACAAATCTGAAGATTATTTGAACGAACCATTTGAGCGTAATTTATTCAGAATGCGACAATATGAAAACGTATCCTCCCAGATTATTTGACGAAGTTGTATTAGGAGTCGTAAAACGTTCCTAATGTATCCGAATAAAATGTTAGAGATGGGGAATTACGAGGAATTTGCCTTGAAGTGGATATTGTCTAAACTTACAGGTTATCACTGAACCTGGACATGCGTTCACCGTCCCACCCTCACCACACGCACGCGCACGCGCACACACAAACACACCCTCACCACACACACACACTTCTGGCATGTGCAACATTTACATTTCAGACTGCAATATTTATTTATATAAATATTTACATTTCAGACTGCAATATTTATTTATATTTTCTGCAATATTTGCATTTCAGACTGCAATATTTATTTATATAAATATTTACATTTCAGACTGCAATATTTATTTATATTTTCTGCAACATTTACATTTCAGACTGCAATATTTATTTATATAAATATTTACATTTCAGACTGCAATATTTATTTATATTTTCTGCAATATTTGCATTTCAGACTGCAATATTTATTTATATTTTCTGCAACATTTACATTTCAGACTGCAATATTTATTTATATAAATATTTACATTTCAGACTGCAATATTTATTTATATTTTCTGCAATATTTGCATTTCAGACTGCAATATTTATTTATATTTTCTGCAATATTTACATTTCAGACTGTAATATTTATTTATATTTTCTGCAACATTTACATTTCAGACTGCAATATTTATTTATATTTTCTGCAATATTTACATTTCGATCTGTGCAATATTTATTTATATCTATATTTCTGTAATATTTTACATTTCATACTTTATTTTATATTTCTGCAATATCTATTTATATTCTGTTATGCTACTGCCTGTAAATAACTCCTACCATACATTGCCCATCTTACCTGAATGAGAGTTCCTTTTTTTTATTTCTTCTTTTGTTGTTTTTAGCTGTGGATGCTTGTATGTGTGTGCACTTTAAGGTGAAGCCAAATAATGTCGTTGTACAATTGTATAATGACAATAAAGACATTCTATTCTAAAGTTCTTCTGAAGATAACATTGGGTACAACAGAACCGTACTGTGTACAGAAAGTAGGCTATACAATTTAATTAGGCTAATTGTTGTTGATTATTAAAACAAAAAAAATAAACAAGTTGTTGGAAATAAATAAGGTGTAAAAAATTTTTTTTAGATAGGGTGCTTCTTTTCTGGAGCAAGTGCTACTTTGGTGATATATGTGCGTAAAATTATGGCACTATAGTTTTCCTATATTTGAGTATTTCTCCACATGCGTCTGTGCGCGCGCATGTGACATCATTGATGGGATTGGCTCCCCCTGACTGGGGTGGAGAACCTTCCACACAGGCTACAGAGGGAGAAGAAGAGGAGTGAGGGACAGAGGGGATAGTTTTCCACCAGCCCGGAGCTTAGCGCAGGGACACCTCCATCCAGAGTGAACCACGCCCCGGGGAAAGGAGAGACTGTGGCTCCTCAAAGTCCCCAAACTCCTGATATGGAAGGGGGACCGGACGGAGAAGAGGGCTGTTAAGTTTGGTTACCGGTTGAAACGATGAAGTTCGGGAAGAGCATCTGCGTGCTCAACGTGGGGGGGACCCGGTACGCCTTCACCCGTGAGGTGATCAAGGATTTCCCTCTCCGGCGCGTCAGCCGCCTTCATGCATGCGCAACCGAGAAAGAGGTTCTTGAACTGTGCGACGACTACGACCGGGACCGCAATGAGTTCTTTTTCGACCGTCACGCGCAGGCTTTCGTGTTCATCATGCTGTACGTGCGCTCCGGTAAACTCCGCTTTGTTCCCGGAGTGTGTGAGCTGTCCTTCTACACGGAGATGCTCTACTGGGGACTGGAGAGCGCGCACTTGGACTCCTGCTGTCAAAAACGGCTGGACGACAGGATGTCCGAGATTGGCATGGACTCTGAATCTGAGGAGGGCATCGAAGTGTCAGTGGATGAGCCTCAGAGCCCGGTGGAGCCGGTGCAACTGACTGCGCTCACAGGGCGCGCAAGATGGCTAGAGATGATGCGCAAAGCATTCGAGGAACCAAACTCTTCGATTGTGGCGCAGCTTTTGGCTTCAATATCCGTCATCTTTGTGATCGTTTCTATGTTCATGCTGTGTGCAAGCACCCTGCCGGACTGGGACACAGCCAAGAAAACCACAGTGGAGGAGCACAGGTAGGAGAAAGTCCAGGTCCTGTCAAGTTAGATTCATAACAAGTCGCGATACTGATACTTATTACCTGACAGAATATATCCTAGAAGTTAAACTTTGCTCTTAACTTGTAATGCGAAAAAGTCAGTGTTGGCTTCATTCCAGCCAAATCTTGTCAAGGATGCGTTTCTGTCATGATCAACACTCTGTAAATAATAAATGTATACGCACACAAGAAAGCGCCTGCATGCGTCCAAGAGAAACCGTTAAAACTCATTAGCACAATCCATTTATCACCCATAAGGTTGATGCTTAATCATTAACCCAATCCCAGCTTTTGGACTGTAATATGATGGTATTGGCTGTTTTTTGTTATATTTCAAAAGCAGTTACTTGGATCCAAGCATCCAACCCTTTTAAAACATATAGTCTAACAATAAGCATTATTAATATATCTTCAATTCGTCCTTCTGCTTTCTCATTGAATGCCCCGGCTGTCAAGAAAGGCACAATGACAAGTTTCAGTCAGCACTGAACATTATAAGCACCACATCTCAGACCAAAAAAGCAGAGAAAGCAAATCAATAACCAATCCATATTATCTACAAAACTAGTGTTAATTATTGAACAGGGTTTTCTCTGTCTTTTCTGAACGGCCCCACTTCTCCTTATTAAAAATTCAAATATACAGTATTTACAGGCATGCACTGTACACAAGAAAGACAAACAAAATAGATAATGACCAGTTTCATTATATCCCCGTGGCTAATGAGTTGAAGGAGGAAGATGTACTGATGGATTATATATCAGTGTTTAGCCACTTAGAAGGATCACTTCCTTTGCAAGTCAGCGTTTGGATATTATTTTGACTCCAGTTTTTGGACACAAGGTGAAAAAGTGCATCTTTTATTTCAGCACTATTTTCCGGAGCTCTTGTTCTCTTTTCTTCTCTTGGGAGCCTGCAGCTGCTTTTCTCTATATAAGGCGAGGTTATGTTCACCCAGGCAGCATGCTGGATGGACATAGTTTTGGATCTTACAGTCAGGGTCGAAAGGATTCCAATATAGTTACAAGAGTGGTGGACGATACAGTTGCTCTATGATTTGGTTCTGTTTAACCCTGCTGATGTGATTGTCCTTAGGCTCTAGTATTTGCTTGACCTGATTGCTTCTATTTCGAACACAAGCACCACCTCACTCTAAATTGCCTTTGCCGTGCTGATCAATGGGGCAGTAGTGTACGTGTTTTTGTCACAGGTCATTTTTGAAGGTTGTAAATCCCTCCCTCTGTGCAGTTTCAACGTCTTTATCTCTTACTGCATGTCTTTTCTTGTGTTTTCTTTCAACAATAAATTGCACCAGATGTTATCCCTCCTCCCAAAACATCACCCCTGCTTTGCTCCCATCTTCGTCACTCACCCAGATTGTCATACAGTATCCCATATCATCCATATCTCCCCTCTGCCATTTCCTGTTTACAGTCTGTTCCTCTCATTTCTCTCCTCTGTAGGATAGTGGAGACCGTGTGCATCGGCTGGTTCACAGCAGAGTGCATTGTGCGCTTCCTGGTGGCTAGAAACAAGTGGGACTTCCTACGCCGGCCCCTGAACATCATTGACATCATTGCAATAACCCCTTATTATGTCACCATGGCACTGGCCCGGGCGGGGATGCCCGGCGCAGGCCTCGGGGTTGCAGGGGTGTTCCTGCGGGTGCTGAGGATGATGCGTGTGTTCTGGCTCATGAAGCTGGCCAGGCACTTCATGGGCCTGCAGACTCTGGGGCTGACGCTCACGCGCTGTTATCGGGAGATGGTGATGCTGATGGTGTTTGTGTGCGTTGCCATGGCGATATACAGCGCCCTGGCTCAGCTGCTTGAGCACGGCTTGGACTTGGAAACACGGAACCACGATTTTGCGAGCATCCCGGCTGCCGCCTGGTGGGTCATTATCTCCATGACTACAGTGGGGTACGGGGATGTCTACCCGGTGACGATCGGGGGGCGGGTGCTCGGGGGGATGTGTGTGGTGAGTGGGATTGTTCTCCTGGCACTGCCCATTACATTCATCTACCACAGTTTTGTACAGTGCTACCATGAACTTAAACTTCGCTCTGCCAGATACGAGCGCAGCCTTTCCATAGAGGTTCTGCAGTGAGAAAACATTTGTTTCCCAGAACATTGATTGCCAGACGTCGACCAGGAAGAAGCCTCATCAAACCACCTGCTGATCCTATGTGAAATAATTATAAACAGCCCTGTTTCCTGCCTGAGCTGCAACTGATTTTGTTTGGCCTGTCTACCTCCTGCCTGTTGTGCTGATGATCTTCAATCATCATCTGCAGCCAGTTCGCTCTGCGCCTGCCTCCTTCTGCACTTGTGCAAAAAAACAAAAAAAAAGGATAGAAATACACCCATTATAATTTATTAAACACACACACACAGGCACAGTAAATCCAGTTTTGACAGTGGCTGCTGTTTACACTGTATTCCCATCGTTACAACAATGCCTGCCTCTTTTTCTATGCTGCATCAAGTGCTCATGTGTTTGAGTGTGTTTTTGTTTGTCTGACCATGAATAAAGCTTTGCACCCAGATGGTCCAAGTTACACAAGATTGATGGGTGATCTAAATGCATTCTGTTAAACCTGTGAAAAATAGAGAAGGAGTGAACATGTAAGTGCAAAGTGGGGATGGAGAAAGGACACGTGGAGGGCTTAGTGTGTAGGAGGGGTTTAAGCCGAGGATAATGAAATATGGGCATGCAATGTGGCGGACAAATAAAAGGGAAAGGTATGACAGGGAAAGAGCCTGAAACAAGACAGCATGTCTGGTCAGCAAAGAATGAAGAGATGGGAGTGTGTGTTGCTCTCACCATTTGTAAGTAAATTATAAGGTATTTTATATTTCTGATTCTCCAAGGCAAACTCATTCTCCAGCATGTCAATCATAATGGAGGCTGATTTGTCTGCAAATAAAGGTCACATTCACGCACCTTTCTGCTGGCTCTTTTACATTTTCTCCTGGAATAATTGTGAAAATGACATAAGGGGATACATTTAAATGACAAAAAAAACAAAAACACAAGACTGGAAAAAAATGGAGGATGTCACAGATGATGGTTCTGACATTCATGATTCAGATATGTTTGCACAGTCGGAGGTTTGCCAAGATGATATGATTTATTGAAGAGACACATGATCCAAACAAACAAGTCCACACGTCTCCCACACAACAGTCTTTCTCTGCCTTTCCTCTCCTCTTCCTCCTGTTGCCATCAACCATCCTCTTTTTACACACACACACACATACACACACACACACGGACATGCACAGAACAAGCTCTTCCTCCACTGTTGCAGTTGAAATTAAACAATTACTCAGTCTGATCATTATCTCTCCGTCCTTACACTTATAGTCTATATTTCTTATTACCTCATAAACCATGCAGCCTTGTATGAGTTACATGTGCGTTTTAGAACGTGCATATCTTAATATTCTTGTTGTTGTGCTATCAATGTGCTTTTTAAGTAATGTAACAGGCAACAAAATGAAAGATAATCAATTATTTACCACCAACCCAACAACGCATACTTTATTTTAACTCATGGCGCATAGCTAATAGTTGAGTACATTTCGGCCAGGCCTGATTGAAGTCTTCGATCAAAACGTTTTCATCTGTAGAAATGGTCTTGTTGTTAATGTAATAAATGTATGTGCTTTTATAATAAAATGACTCTGAGTGAAGTGCCGTCGAATATGTAATTGCTTGCTACAAATCAAACGACCACAAAATGGATTATTGCAAGAGTAAATTTTACAATGTGAATCTTGAGCTGGGGTTTTCATTAAACTTTCTTGCATAACCCTCAACCATGCGGAAATATTCAAGGGCTGCTGCAATGGTCCACCATCTTAGCAAAATGCTTATTTTTGCTTCTCATATTATTATATGTAAAGCCATGAGAAACATACTGATTCATAAGGAAATGGAAATTGTAACCCTATAGTAATGCACATGTAAGTTATGATTAAAAGTGAACATCTGGAGTCTGCATTCACACTTGCTGGCAGCAGTGTCACCCAGAAAAGTGATAAATGGGTAGCACATTTTTGACAGCTGGCATTTGATCAGTCTTGATGCGATAACATTCTGTTTACACCTCAAGGCCTGCTGCAGGCAATGGACCGAAACATTCTGTTTGTGGGACACCTGAGCCCGCTGGCAAGGGCTTAGAGTGCGCTCATCAGAGGTCACACTGAGGTGAACGTCGTGCCACAGTGAAGTTTCTAAGAGTAAACCGACTCTGAAACTGTTGCCCTGTTCTCGGGGGTTCAAAGCTTCCAGGTACATCAGTCAATCAGCTTTAAGGCTTATGTGTCAAGTTTTCCTAATGAGCTCATTCGCTGTTTCAGGAATCAAATTAAAGGAAAAATTAGCATTAAGCCGTTAAAACAGCTTTACTGCTTCTTAACATATTTCTATACATACAGTACATTCAAATCTACTGGAGGGGTGGTTCTTATAAAGATAATCCATTATTTGTTTCTGATGATGGTATTTGAGGACACTGTTAAACAGAATAGTCATCATATTCACACAGTTGCCATTGTTCATTAATGTCACACTACTGGTGGAAAGTTAAATTGGCTTTTAAATGTCCTTACTACTGTGTTCCAGGTAAGCAAGTCATATAAATGAAGGGAAGCTTACAAACTATAATCATTTCACCCCTTCTTTATTAAACAGCAACTGAAAAGACGCTGGATGGTTAAAATACATTATATCCAACTATATTCAAGGAAATAGGCCTACAAAACCTTTGATAACTCATACCTGTTCTGACAGCTTAACAGTCTATACCTAGCATTACTATTAGCTACTGTTCAAATATTTGCTATAGCTGGCATTATTGTTAGCAATGATTCAAGGCATTTTTTTGTCTATAATGTAAGACTGTCTAATAATATTAGCGAGGAAGTCGTATGATCCAAATGTTTGCTTTTGTAAAACAGTGGCTAATTAGTTAGCTGACCAAATATGGAGTTTTAAATTAAAGACTTTTGGATTTTCACGTTCCATTGTCTATGATTCACAATGTCCATTACATGCTGATATTTAAGAGGAATAATGTAGTCTAATATGATATGATTCCTACATTTACATACAAGAACTCAACAAAAAGTGCAGCTGAGGATGATGGGACGGCGGTAAAGTGTGGTCAGGACTTAACATACTGGAATAAAGTAATCTATGATCTGCTGCTGGTGCTTTTGGCAGACTGGTCACATGACTGCCGGTGTCTGAACCTTACCTAATTGCAATCCCAAGACATTTCAAACACCACTCAAATGTCGACCTCGTTGTAGGAAAAGTCACTGAGATCAAACCTCAGGGGACCACAAAGGTCGGTTTTATATTTCATGGCATCAAACTCAAGGATGGATTACCGACATGCGTCACTGTCACCAATTGATCACCTTTTGTTTTTTGTTTTTTTAACTTTCTATCAAAGGACAGCGTAGACCTTTTAAAGATTTGTATTATTATTTAAAACATGCGTTGAACGCAAGTGAACTCAGACAAGTCCTAAGAGAGAAGAAATGTGTTGACAAAGATTTAAAATCCCTCATGCATTTTTTTCACAGGTCTCCTGAGAATAAGAAATAAAATTGAATGAACAGACTTTTTTTTAATCAATTACAGTTAATGTCAACAAAGTTTTAAGCTCATGTGGGGTTAGTTTTAGTATAATTTACTTAACATTCCCCTAGCCTCTGCCCCATGGACTGTAAATATCACTCTGCACACCCCCCTTCAATGATTTTAAACAGGCAATGTCGAGCCAGCTAACTGCTACGTCACGTTGCCTCGACGGTGGCAGCAGGAAGACCCTTTACCGGGTGAATTTTGTTGTGGACGACCACATTTCCCCCTTGTCCTTCAGCTGTGAAATGTACTACAAGTTCAGCGGGATCACCCAGAAGTTGACGGGCTCTGCTCCCACGGCCGCCTACAGCCCTCAGGTGAGCCCGGGGATGCACGTGGTGACCTGTAAGGGATGACCTTCACTGTCTGTGATGTGATGACTTCCCTTGAGGATATTTGACACATGTAAAGATTGATTAAACATGCAGTTATTTGCTCTAACTTGGGATTCAAACAGAGGCATTGTCCTTTCTTTGTCTTTTTTTTTTTTTTTTTTTTTTTAATTTCCGTTCTTTGACAAATTAATTTCCTCTTTCCATCCCTGACTCATCACAGAAGCTTTACCTAACCCTTTGCTTTCCCCCCTCCTGAAAGGTCATTTTCTTTGTGTTGCACAGGTCTTCATGTGGCTTTACAACCAATTTTGAGATTCAATGGCCCAGATGTGACCTTTATTATTGCCCCTCTGTCCTTTACACTGCAGCCTCCCTGTTATTCTGTGATATGAGGGGTGGTCTGCCTTCAAGCCCTCCTGTCTGTCAGTTATCCAACAAGCCAGTTATTATGTACTTGTAAAATACCCCTGTAACCCCTTACACCTGAAGCCTTGGGGTTGGAAACCGGATAATGTACAAGTGAAAGCAGCATGTAAAGTGTGTGACATTTATTCTGTTAGAGCTGACAAACATCAACAGGGGGAGAGAGTTACTGAGATAATAGAATATAATAGAGTTACTTTATTGATCCCAAACTGGGAAATTGTGGCGTTACAGCAGCAGGTTATCTTAACACACAATGTGAGTAAAAAAACACAATGTTAGCAAATCTAAACACAATATAATATTAACTACAAAGTAAATAAGTACTAAAAAAATATCAAAAATGAATGTGAATATATACAGCCAGGATTTAACTAAGCATTACTAGTGTTAAATAGGAAGATTAAATATGGAAGATTAAATGTAAATGTGCAAAAACAGAGTTGTAAATGGTTGTAAATTAAATATGAAAGATTAAATGTAAATGTGCAAAAAACAAGAGTTGTAAATGGACAGTATTGACATAAGTTAAAGTGCATGAGTGTAGACATGTTATAAGCAGAAACTATACAATATAACGGCGAGTAGACAGACAAATGAAGTGAACATGAGTGCAGGGATAATTTGTAAATGTAACATGTGCAGAACAGATTACAGTAAAGGAGAGACAGATATTATCATGATTGTCAGTTCTCTGATCGCATGAGGTGAGCTGTTGTAGAGAGTCATGGCCTTCGGTAAGAAACATTTCTTGTGTCTGTCCTTGTGACGGCGGAGTTGTATGAGTCTGTTGGAGAAGCTGCTCCGCTGTTTGTCCAGTAGGGTGTGCAGAGGGTGATAAACAATAATCTTAATATTCTTCTAAAGGTCACACTAAGTGTTACGCACTATGTATGTTTTTTTTTAAGATGCTCTTTTTTTTTTTAAGTAACATGATAAATTGACGTCTGGATTACACTTAACAAGTTAATCGCATCATTTTCAGAAGTATCTGCTGTGTGTGATATAGTTGATTTTGTTATTGATGTTTAAATTTTTAACCTGAGACTGAAGATGTAAACTAGCTCTAAGATAATTCTGGTACAGTGCATCAATTTGGCAACACTTATGTTTAATATTGTACGTGGTCCCTTTACAAATAAAAAAAACTGTCAAAACAATTTAAAGGGTTTTAAAACATATTGGAATCAACCCCTTTTTTTTTGTTTAAGTCTCATAAATATGATCTACACATAAAAAAATGACTATTTAGTCATATTGTCACATAAGGTCTCCCTGCACAAATGGATACATTGAAAAAATTGCCGAAAATATATATACACATATTCTCAAGTTTTCTGTTATCATCATCACCTGCTGCGATTAAATCCCTTGTTGTCCTAACCTTACATGCAGTAGTTTAACATGTTATAATATACGTATCTAGTTCAATAAAACACAAAGCTAGAAAATGAAACTGCTCTTTGAAACAAGCCACACACACAAAAAAAAAAAAAACCTTCAGATGCTTAATGTTACAGAGCGTTCTCCTGGGCTTATATCAGCCAATGTGGATCTCAAACAAAACAAAAACACCCACTGATGTAAAAACAAATGTTTCCCACTTTTGTTTCATCCAAACCTTGACAAGATTTCAAGCTTCAATCAATCAAAGCTTTATTCATATAGCACCTTTCATAGAAATCAAATTTCATTTCAAAGTGCTTCGCAGCGACAGAAAACAAGAAAGAAAGAAAAAAAATAAAGTTGTGACAAAACATTGTACAAGCAAAAATGGATTTAGAAGTATGAATGGCATTAGTTACTTCTGATGGATGATGCTGCATAGCGGTCATCACTACCATCAGTGTGTGAATGGGTAGGTGTGACATGTGGTGTAAAAGCGCTTTGAGTAGTCGGAAGACTAGAAAAGCGCTCTATGAGCTCAAGTCCAAGTAGAGACTAAAGCACACAAATGGGAATGAAATATGTGCAGTTGGAAGGTGGCCAAAATCACCGTCGCTTTAATTCACTGCAGATACGTCTGATATCAGAAAGAGGCTGAAGAGGGGTAAAGGATCATACATGAAAGAGTTGATAGGGAATTTGTTTTGGTCCATTTAGGACTTAGGATGTAGGATTCCTCAAGGAAAACAAAGCCCATACCTGATAGTTCGCCTTCTGTTGCCAGTGTTTTTTTTCCTCCTGTTACTCTCCTGTACTTTTAAAGAAAAAAAAAATGTTTTCATTGTTGACATGATAGGCTCTTTAACATTAGTGTTCTTATTAAATGAATTAAAAGAATGAAAAAACTAATTTCAACATACAGTCCTGTGTTTTCTTCATGCCTTTTAAAGCATTGGCATCAAAAGAAGGATGCTGTGAAAGCAAAGCACACGGCTAAATCCAACTGCTTAGAGCGAATTCAGAGAACTAGAAAATCTCACCTCCACTGTAATAATTGCTGACACGGCCTCTTTTTATAGAAATAGCTGTAAGTACAGTGGAAAGTGCAGCTGAAAGTATCGCCTCTACAGCCGGTCATGTGGCCGTTGCTCAATTAGTCCCTCCAGGGATTCCTCCATCAGCTGCCACCTGCTCCTTTAACTGAGGCAGCTTCATAGAGAGGCTGTCTGTCAAATGTTAAAAGATACAAATAGGCAGACAACAACTTTCAGACGTGATTGTAAAACCTTTAAGTGATGTAGAGTTTTAAGTTTAGATTACCTTTGTGTGTTATGAGGGGTGAGGGAATCCCTGCCAGGCGAGGACAAGGGGATAAGGAAATAGGGAATCCTCTTCATTTCTTCTATAATTCTGTGAACACTTTTAATGAACCGTTCTCTTAAATGGAGGTAAAAATAATCTGCTGTCAGTGCCTCTGCTTTTTCATATGTCAGATTTAATGTCCCTGCTCCCACACTATCTTCCTCCACACGCTCTGAAAAGGTAACGGCTCTCCCAGTAATTTAAAACTCAGGGTGGGTGTGAGGCTTTTTCAAAGTGAGAGAATATCAAATAGAAACACTTCATTAACACCACAATGTACCTTTAGGTTTATTTACTGACAGTATGAAATGTGTCAAGTGTAGAGCAGCGGCATGAACTATCATTCTAATTTCTTGTATACATGGTCAATTCTTGTATTTCTTGTATTCAGTGTATCCTGAGGGGAAATGAATGACAAAAGAAAAAGAAGCCTGATTTCAGCTTTTTCCATACATTGTCTTTAAAGAGTCAGAGTTTAAAAGCATACATGGTCATGTTTTCGATATATCACACTAGTGAAAACAAAAATGAGCCTAGATGTTAGGTGTATTTTGTCGTGTTGATCTGGTACTTGAAGTGATTTTTAACGAGGACCTTCATCATCTGGATGAATAACTCTCTGAGCTCTGTACAGAGCGCACATAAACTTCACAGAATTCTGTTTCACCTGATATAAATTATTTCTTGAGTTGATGATTACTGAAAAACCTAATTGAATGGTAAATAAACTGGAGCTTGTAGAGCACTTTTCAAGTCCTCTTCTAGTATTTGAGTTTTTGGATCCAGCACCCACTGAGCGGCTGTGCGTGTCCTTTTTTTGTGGTTTGACACGCTCACACATAATGTCAGCAGTTGCAGCAGCAGCAGCCGCGGATCAGGAAAACAGATTAACAAGGAAAAACAACCCATTTTCACCAATTGCCTCAAACACAGTGACCCTTGAAAGCGATACATTTCGTTTTCATTCTTTTCGTTAATAATAATCTTTTTAACATTTTAAAAACAAGCTGTAAAATATGAAACAAAAACATAATACCAACTATTATACCTTCTGTTAAGACTCCCAATTATAGTCTCGGATTGAAACGGGTGCAGGATGAAGTAATTGAAAATAGGAGCTCAACAGATGGTAACAGCCACATAACCAGGTGGCTTCCTCCAATTCATTAAGGGAAGTAGTTCAACCATTTGGCGTGACTTTTTCCTCGGCTAGGAGAAATAAGATGGGCACTAATAAGATTCACAGCATAATTATTATAAGCTTTATCAATTACATGACGCACGGTCTGATTCCCAGTTATTCAGGCCTATCAGGAACAGACATTTGCCCAGGTTTGGCACTCCTTAATTCTGCCAAATACTGTTGAGTAACATCCACAAAATCCAATCAGAAAAAAAGAATTGTCTAACATGGAAGATCCGAAATCAAATTTTGTTTACACTCAGTAAGTTTATGTTCAGTTTTCTACCAAACTGCAGCCCCAAGCATTTTCTAATCCCCCGTCATTTGGACACAAGTAAAAAAAATAAAAATATCTACATTGGTTATAACTACTTCATATTCATTTAGTTTGTTCCACATCAGACAATCTGTTCACATTATGTTCAGAGTTCAGAATACTAATGCAATTAAATTGCTGCCGGTTCATTCAACAGTGGTAACAGGTGCACTGGCTCACCTGTTAATATCTCAAACGTGCTCTGGGCCAATTTCTTGTTGTTTGAGTTACAATTAAAAATATTTCCCTCAGCCAACTGGACAAATATTTCAACCCCTCGATTTGAATATTTCACCAAGGAGGCACCAAATTGTGTCATTCTGGAGAAATGACTCAACAAAACAATCTTGTTCTTGACCATCGTAAAGTCACTGTAAGCGTGATTGATGATGATGCGCTGATTGACGTGAATCTGCTCGTTACATTGACTGTGCATTTCATTTAGAAAAGTAAAAAAAATCCAAAAGAGTTTCGGGGACCCTCCATGTATGTTGTAAATTAATATATTTCATGCATGCATTAGTTATAACTTTGAATGAATTTAGCAAATTGTGACCATTTGGTTGTTTTTGATCAGGGGCTGAGGCCGGGTGTGCCAGCAGAGGCTCCAACCATGATCTTTGCCACTCCCACCAAGGTGGTGTCAGAGGCTGGAGCCACGGTGGAGTACCTGGGAGCAAACAAGGTTCCTGATTTCCAGAGGATATTCCAGGTAATGGAGAGCAAAGAGCATGTTAGTCACAACAACACAAGTTTCCGCAGTGAATCAAACGTTGAGCTGTTCCTCTTTTTCTTGAATGAAAATCCTCAGAATAATGGTAGATAACCTGCATTGATGATTTCTTATTTTAAGTTAATGACTGATTTTCACTTTTGCTCTGTTTTTTAATCGCCTCCTGCCCCACCTCCCCTTCCACCGTTTCAATATTTATCACACAAAGGGAATTAAGAGTGACAATAAGCCCCTCTGACCTTCAAAAGTCAATAACACACAGGAGAAAAACATGCTCTCATAATTGAATAAATAAATGTACTTCTCTAATTAATTATTTTAGAGACAGTTTTTTGCTCTTTGAATGCGTTTTGAAAAAAAGTTTTCTACTTCCCATTTTAATTTTGAGGGGGAAAAAATAAAATTCAAAAAAGCAGAAGATGTTTGAAAATGAATAGCAGTACGCCAAAAATGATGTCCTTATGGAAACTTTCTCAAAATTAATCTTTTGAATTTTGAAATACTTTATTATGCTTTATTGTGCTGAATGTCATTCCCCACTCTCTTCTCCAAACATTTAGTTTCTCTCTTCTGCTAACCTATCTAATGAAGCCAAAATGGCCTAAAACTGTGCACTCTGTTCCGTTATTATTATTATTACTGTATTTTTTTTTCCTCCTGTTTTCTTGCTACAACCCTCCCCCAAATTCCCATTCATCTCCTCCCTCCTTTTTCGTCCTCTCTCAGTCATCAGACGGTATCCCCATTCATCTGAAGCGCGGCGTTCCCGACAGGCTACTGTACCGCACCACCATGGCTCTGACTGTAGGAGGCGCTCTGTACTGTCTTGTGGCTCTTTACATCGCAGCCCAGCCCAGCAAAAAGTGACCAACACAAACCGAGGGATCTTTCTCTGTAACACATCAACCCAACATTCCCAACAGTCTCCATCTGCCCTCGTTCTGCCACCTCTTGGGACTCAAAGATGAATGAATGAATCGCTGCTAGTGCAACACACCAATAATAACAGCAATATTTTCTGTCTTCTGTCTAAAATGTCTAAATTAATAAATTTTAAGGGGAAACAAAGATGAAAGATTGTCTTCCTTTTTGTCTACAATTTATATATACATTGTATTTAATTGAAGCAGCTATCACTGTAAGAAAGAAAGTGAGACACATGGGCATCATGTATGAGACTGTTTATAGAACGCAGAGCTTCATCGTCTCTTTACGCTCTTACAGAAATAGAAGCTGTGTTGTCTTTTTTTTTCGCTCCTGGTCCTCAACAGGCTTGTGGCATGTGTGTGCAGGCGAGCAGGCATGATGGAGACACCTCGTCTGGAACATAGCTGCTGCTCACTTGGCGTAAGGACCGTCTCATGCAGTTTTTAGACGTGTGGGCCGGGAGTGATGTCAGATGCCTCTCGCCTAGTTTGTCAAGTGTGTGTGTGTGTGTGTGTGTGTGTGTGTGTGTGTGTGTGTGTGTGTGTGTGTGTGTGTGTGTGTGTGTGTGTGTGTGTGTGTGTGTGTGTGTGTGTGTGTGTGTGTGTGTGTGTGTGTGTGTGTGTGTGTGTGTGTGTGTGTGTGTGTGTGTGTGTGTGTGTGTGTGTGTGGATGGTAGTTTCAGGCAGACATGACAAGTCAAACTGCTCAAACACTCAGGATAATTTCACTCTGCGGGTTTTTTTTTCTCCCTGGCCTCGACGTATGATATGATGAAAGGTGAAAACAAAAGTGTCATCGACCTTAAACAGCAGTCTTCAAAAGAAGGGTTCAGGCTCTGTGAGTAATGTTACTACAAAGAGTACAGTCTAAACCTGCTCTTTTTGTAGAGTGTCTTGAGATAACATTTGCACTATACAAATAAATGACTCCTTTAAAGCTCTGATCCAGTTTCCCAGTGTGATTTATCGCATTAAATTCAAATTATTTGTTTAAGAAAAAAGTGTTTTTATGTTAATCCCATCTGGTTTAGCTCAGTTAATAGAGCGGGTGTTCCTTTTACAGAGGGTATCATCCTCGACTTACCAGTTGTAGCTTCGAGTCCCGGCCCAGACCTTTAAATGCAGGTCTACCACACTCTCTCTCCTCCACATTCACTATCTTCAGCTGTCCTATCAATAACAGCAAACCCCAAAAAAATAATCCATTAAAAAAAATAAACCACATTATAAAAATACTACTCATTACAGTAAAAGTCAAGTGTTCAATGTTTGACCTTAAGCCCTAAAGTAAAGCCATCAAAATATACTCAAAATTCCCATTGAGACACAAGTATTCATTATGCAGAATGGCAAGTTTAAGATTAAAAGTCTTTGTTGTCTAATTGTGGTTATTCAATCACATTAAAGTGTCTTTCGGTCATTAGGTGTCTTAATGGTCCCAGGCTCAACAACCATGATACATAACAAACAAATTAAACCGTTTTTCTCGTAGGACTTACCAGAATCGCCATCCATTATTCATTTCGATGTTATGTTTTCTTTGCGTTGTCTTCTTCCTACTTGATCTTTACGGTCATGATAGTGGTCTCAGACGCCATTGAAATTCTCCAGAATTCTCCGTGCTGATAACCAATTGACCCACTCGTGCACCTATGGCCATCTTCATCGAAGTTCTCGCTGGAAGCCGGAGTCCTTATTCCAAGAAACTTCTCATCCATGGTGAAGGAAATATTAGCAGGAGGCTGGAAGATCTGACATGTCTTACGATAGTAAGCCTTTCTGTTTACTCTCAACCACACTGCCGCTTCCATTCATTTGGCCCCTAAGAGTCCATCATTGAGGCATACTATAAAGACACCTTGATCCATTGGTTTGCTGTGCATGTTGAAACGTGCACTTCATCTCGGTGTTTGTATTGATTTCACAGGAAAGGGGCACAGAGGGTCTCATGACGCTTGGCAGCTGAACATTCAGAGTCGATTGAACTCACTCGTGCAGTCTTCACAGAGAGCTCACCCACTTGTAAACAGGTAGCACAAAGCTTGTACATGTAAAATGGAACACAGGGCCAGAACAGTCATCTTCTCAGCAGTGATGCACTGAAAATAGATCGTAAACAGTTTAAAGCTGAATGGTAGAACTTTGACCTCTTGTCAATGTGTTACTGATGTAAGACAAGCCCGGTTCAATGTTTTCATCTCTGTAACTTAGCATGTCGACATTTTCTAATTGACATTGAAAGAAGGTAAAGCTTCAAGAATTTCATTAATAGTTTGAAGTTTTTATCTCATTATTGTGTCATACATACATTTATGCCACCATGAGTTAAATCATTCCAGGATCAGAGTGCGTAGTAGGTCTATTCATTGTCATGAAACAAAAAGAGAAAACAAAAAGTAAGACAAACCCTCATTGAACAAAATATCTTGTCTTATTTTCCAAGCTTATGAGACAAAATGAGCAATTGGTATGTGTTCAAAATCTCATTAATGCTGTACCCAACTCCACATTTTGTCTGTTTAATTAGATTTCTCTAAATAATATCTAACTTCAACTTTCTGTTCCTTTTTGGGGTTCCGTGTCTCACTATACAAATCCATATCAGCCTGCATAAGTATTTAGCTTGAAGACACTCATTGGCTGTCCACCATACCTTAAAGAGGACATATCATCCCCCTTTTCCACCTTTTCAAACACTTCCCTGTGGTCTAAATGAAACATCTGTGCTGTGCTTTCATCAAAATATAACATGAATCAAGCACCAGAGGAGGTTTGTGACCCTGTACAAACCAGCTCTCTCAGAACACGCCGTTTTGGTGTGTGTGTGTGTGTCTCTTTTTTGACATTATCAACATTATCATTAACAATTTCAACCTGGTTATGTCAGATTAAAAAAGTCACAGGATTTACCTTATGGAATCATCAATTTCAGCACTCAGATTTTGACAGTCAATTCAAGATTCAAAAATATTTGATGGAGCAACATTTCCATCTCTAGAGCCACACCTGTGGCAAGCCTAAACACAGCATCAGTTCCATTATGTGTCTGATTTATAGAAATGTCAACTACCAGAAGTCATAACGCTGACTCATTGACATTTTATTATTTTAACATCTTGCCGTTTTGCCGAGACGATACAGCACAATTGTGTCCCAGGAAGCTTTATAGACTGGGGGGGTACAGGAATGCTATAGTTGTATGCGTTGTCTAACATTTTCTTTCTTTTAAAGCATTAAGTTGTTGATTTTTTTTTTTTTTTTACCTTGATGGATTCCCATTCAACAGTTTGATTTATTAAATATGGCACCTTCATTTGTCAAAATGAGCCCGCTCTGGATCTCCCTTTGTCATTGCATCAATACTGAAGGAAAAACACAAAACAAAAGGGATAATTGATGAGGGGTGAAATGAGCGCTGTAAATAAATAAAGACACCACACATTACTTTAGGTGAGTGTTTCTCCATACCACTCATTTGATAAAGCAGGGTTCAGATTTAGTGGTTAGTTCACATACATGTTCCTGCTGTGAGCCTGTGTTTAGCTTGTATTATGTGATGTCATTACTATTAATGCTGTAGGATGTTCTATTGGACCCAAGGCTGAGTCCTTAATAGTTGTTATTTACAGAGTTATCTGTGCAAACTAATACTCTACCCCAGAGGCTGCACCTTCAGACTGTTCCTCCATTTAAAGCATGCTGCACCATATTGAAGAAATGTCAATTGAATAACGACTGAATAAAGAAGCAGTCTAATGAATTGTACATTTACAGTAGTTACAAAAGGTTCAACCTTCACCTACATGACTTTTTCTACAACGTCCACATGCTGCCAATCAAGCCACGCTTTCCTCTAATGTGTTTGAGTAGATGTCATTGGTGGTTACCATGGAAACATGGCTCAGGGACAAGGGCGGCTAGCTTGCACAGTTAATTATCCAGTTTTTTATTATTGTGTAACTGTCAGACTCATACCAGACAGGTTTTTAACGTAACACTAATGTTTCAGTTATAATATCTAGGTTCTACATATCTTTGAGAAGCAGAAAATATGAGTAGACAAGTCAGAAAAAAAACTAGCAATCCTGTCACAGATTTTGTACTCCGATTTTAAATCTTGAGAGTGATTCCTTTAAAAATTGTATTTCATTGAAAAAATTACAAGTATGATCCCAATCTGGCTCTTGATCAGAGTAATAGCCTAAATCTAGTTCAGAGACTGAAATCCCAGTGTCATTGTTTTATTTTTTACAGTTGTAGTTTCTAATTCATCTGATTGTTGATGGCAAAGAAAAGCCAGTCAGACCAATCCTCTGGGGACAGAGGCGCTGCTTGTCAACAGGCAAGGCAAAGGCAGCTGTTTTGGGGCCCCTGACCAGTAGCGAGCCCCTGAGAGCTCACAAACTTAAACCAAAGCAGTGGCTCAAAGTGCGCAAATTTTGCAATGACAGTAGGAAGCCTTCCTAAGGGGGCCCCATCTGATGGCACTCACTCTCATTGCCCTGCTAAGCGTTGCGTGCAAGCCAAAGTTTTTCAATGAAAAGAGAGAAAAAACTAAACAGGAAAAAAAGAGGAAGAGGACTAAGCATGGGGACAATGGCAGACGTAAAGGTGATGAACGCTGGGTAGAGGGCCCCCCCAATTGATTTTCGCTTCGGGTCCCAACATACTTTAGGATCGCCACTGTCTGGGGACCATGAATGTTTGTGCAAGATTTCACCAATGGTTGTTGAAATCAAACAGACTGACAACCTAGCTTTGAACAAAAAAAAGCCAGATGCTGTTAAAACGCGTTCAAATCTCTAAATGTACACTCTGACAAAACATCAGACAGTTCGAGAAAACGATTGCAAACTTTAAGAAACAAATGCAGGAAGTGGGCATAATTTAAAAAAAAAATGATTGTTAGAAATTTACCAAAGTCAGTAGGGTAAATCCTTTTGCGGCTAATTAAAATATTTTTGAATGAAAAGACCCACCACATCTGTCAGTGACAAATCTGTTTGTGGCTGTAAAAAAAAAAAAACTTAACCTCCAGATTTATATTGTGAGTCCCTCAAGGGGTCTGAGCACAAGATTTGGGATATACCTGAGTAACTTTCTCTAGATATTTTTGGTAACTTTCTTTCTAAGTAATTTGTCTTTCCCC